GGTCTATTAAATCTCAAATTCTATCTTCAATACTACTCTCTCCCTATATGTATCTATTAAATCTCATATCCTATCTTCAATACTACTCTCTCCCTATATGGGTCTATTAAATCTCATATCCTATCTTCAATACTACTCTCTCCCTATATGGGTCTATTAAATCTCATATCTTATCTTCAATACTACTCTCTCCCTATATGGGTCTATTAAATCTCATTTTCTATCTTCAATACTACTCTCTCCCTATATGGGTCTATTAAATCTCATTTTCTATCTTCAATACTTCTCTCTCCCTATATGGGTCTATTAAATCTCATATCCTATCTTCAATACTTCTCTCTCCCTATATGGGTCTATTAAATCTCATTTCCTAATCTAATGACTGTTATCATACATCAAGAATTTGTAGGTATATCTAGTATTGGAAACCATCCATAGGAAGACTATATACGAGGGTATATCATAAAGTTCTCATAATATAGGAAGACTATATAGATGTCCATACACCATAAAACATGCAAGTCAATGAGATCTTTGAAGTCTTCTAAGTCAAGTAAGTGTTCCTTATAAAAAAGTGTTCCATCAAATAGATTTAACTGTATGTATAGAATAAAACTGGAGTAGTAGTTAAATACAAGTATTGATTTAATCTTAAATGCTAACTGTAAAATGTGACCTAGTCTATGTACAGTATTGTTATTGGTTCATTTGTTATGTATGTACCATTCAAAAGTTAACTTGAGATCCCCCACATGGGCATGGATGGGGAATTTGACAAAAACATTTTGACCTGTCTAATTCCTTACCCTGGGGCCAAATAAATGAGTCAACTTCCCTACCCTTGGGGCAATAAATCTGGTCAAATATTCGCGACCACCTGGTCCTTCCACCATTTGAAATCTATTTTTAAACATCAGATATCATTGTTAGTAGACCAATGCTCATGAATGTTGAGGGATACACATGCTGTATTTTGTTTATGTCAATATTTTATTTAGATATACCATATATGGTCATAAGATTCTTCACGGAAAGTCCACTACACATGCTTCAATTAATTAATGAATGAAAAGTTCGTTTACGATTTACTTATATAACCAGTGCTTTCAGTAGGTTTGTCCAAGAGTGCGTCCCTGGGACGGATGGATTTTCAAAAAGTGAGTCCCCCCTCAAAAAAGTGTGTCCCATGAAAAAAGGTTCCTGGGAATTCAAAGTCACGCTTTTACACTGAACGAAAAAACAAATCACGCAATTTGATAAGATAAAATTATTAAGATGCATGCGTGATCAACAATTGTGGCCAATCATAGGATTACCGCTTGGTACTGTAGTAACGATTTAGCGATTGTCCTATCACAGGCCTCGTACTATTTCAATCGGAAATATATATATCCAATTGTTTATGGTGCTTTAATGCCACCTTTTATAGTCTCTGGTGCTCGTTATCACTTTGTAATATCACTGATGTGGTTTACACTGTTGTTTTGTAAGAGTTTATTTTTTTGTTTTTTGTTTTAAATCCTTATCTACATTTAACTAATGTCTTATTTACACTTAAAATCTTTTGCTTTCTATGATGTAGGATCGAAGTACATCATATAGCTTTTTATTCATGTCTTTGTTTAGTGTTTGATTTTCTCCAGCCAGTGTTTTTAAGTCTAAGGCACACTTATTTTCACACTCCAGAAGTATGCAGTCTGCATACTTCCTGAAAAGAAACTTCGAAAGAAAATATTGTATTTCTTTTAGAAATAGAATATCCTCCCTTTATTTAGCGGATTTTGACCAAATTAAAGACTGAAGGTAAGATCATTTTCTGAGTCTATCAATTTTGTTAATGAAATCACAACAGGACTTTGCATCCAAGCCCAGCCTTTCAGTAGGTTCGCTTTAGGTAGATATTCTAGGTTCGATTAGGTAAATATTTCAGGTTTGCTTTAGGTAACTATCATATGTTAAAATCCCATTGGTAGGTTCGCTTTAGGCGATGTTCAAATATGCAAATTAGGTGTTAGGTTCACTCTAGGTTCGAACCTAACCGAACCTAGATCTAGGTTCGCTTTAGGTAAATACTTAGCTGAACCTACATTTAGATTTGCTGTAGGTGAATATATGCTTAATAGTTTTAGTTTCAATTGGGTAAATCTACCTAACTGAACCTATTATATATAGTGTAGGCAAAGGATTTTTACGTAGGGTTCTGACTTCAGACATTTAACTGAAACTGTGGACCCCTGACCGCCATTGGATTCAACAGTTCCTTTGGTTTGGAAAAATTGTTTGGTTTGGACTTTCTAACGCTCAATGCAACCATATATTAACACACATTCGCTAAAAGCAACGTAATTCAAAAAAATATCTACTGCGGATATTGGGAAAATGCCGATGGATGAGAAAAATATTAGTGCCATTGGCACTAATAATCTTGTTTTTCTCATTAGTATCAGATTCAGCTAGCACAAACAGTACATTAATAGTTAATTGTGAAGTATTACAGTCATTTGTGAAATTTCAAGACACATACAGGCTAATTTTGTCTTACATTCTTTTGATCATAGCAGAATATAATAGTGCGATAAAACCGAATAACCAAACCGAAAACTGAACCGAGGGATTCAAAACCAAACTGAATTGAAAATTTTGAAACAGTTTGACCCCTATTTGTACTACATGCAATTTAATTTGTAGATATGAATGTGTCTTGGTTAAAAATGTGGAAGTAATTTGATTGCATTCTGGAGATTTTAAGTTAGCCAATTATCTTAACCAGTTTTTTTTATCATTTTTTCATATCATTTGTTTTACCTTGATATACGCTTAGATTTCATCTGTAAGTATGCTTCTAATATATGTTCAGTGAAAATGATTAAGTTTTTTAGGTTCCCTTTAGGTAGCTCTAGATATTTCCAAGATTTTTAGGTTCGCTTTAGGTAAGTCTAAACATTTCAAAGTTTTTTAGATTCACATTAGGTTCGAACCTATAGTGAACCTAAAAGTTCCTAATTTTTAAAAGTGTTATAGGTAGTATTAGGTTTGAACCTGAAGTGGACCTACTTTTTGTAGGTTCGTTTAGGTAGCTGCCAAACTATGGGACTCACTTTTAGGTTTGCTTTAGGTTCGAACCTACATCACCTACTGAAAGGCTGGGAGGGGCGGATCATTAAAAAATTTTGAGTCCCTTCATACAACATAACATGAAAAGCTAAAAACTGGTTTGAAACAAAAGATAGTGAAAAGGCAAGGCATGGCAAACAAGAGGATTAAAATATTTTGCACTGATACAATAATAAGCTAGGGACCTGTTAAAATGAAAATAAGGGAAATATATAGGACTGATCAATATGAAAAGCGAGAAATATAAAAATATGAAAATGGCCATGTTACATTAATATTTCTGAAGTAAAGCAATATAGGTATCTAGGTGTTTACGTCGACCGAGCTTTAAAGCTGGACTACGCTCCGAAACGCAATCTTGGGTTGTTTCGGGGGTGAAATTTATCATTTTGAGCTTAATGAAAGATTATAGAATCATGAACAAATGGGGCAAATCTTGTGTAGAAATACTTACGATAAATGTGTCATTTCAAAGATTTTTCATTGAATTTGCTTCGATCGGAGCCGGCGATATGATTTTGGAAAGGTTTCTAAATGAAGAACGTGACGTCACTTCCGAATCATAGCATTCAAAATAACCAGCGTTTAATTACCTTCACCATTCATAATGATACTGTGGTGCAGCGGTAGAATCCTCGCCGAGCACGCAGGAGGCCCGGGTTCGAATCCCGCATTCGCCTTTTAATTTTTTTAACTAAATGATTGTTCTTTGATATTACGCAGAAATTTTTTTTATTTATTTACATAAACTTTATATTAGAGTTTGAAAATGTAAAAACAATATATGTCAACATATTGCGTTTTGGAGCGATGTGCAGGTTTAAGAGACAATTTTCATGTTAATAATACCTTAATGCCAAAGTCAAAACATATTAGAAATACGATCAGTAGTACCCTGACTAAACATTGTAATATTAATCGTGTGAATTTTGGAAATACCATGTACAATGCCATGTTTCTACCAGCAATCCTTCATGCATGTGGAGTATTTGTTCTGAGTGAGTCGTCTTCCAAAGCGTTCTCCTCAATGCAATATAATATGGGTAGAGACATCCTTCAACTTAAGTGTAACCCAGCAAGGGGAAGCACTGATGGGTGATTTTGGGTGGAAACCCATTTTAAGCTTGATTGATAAAAGACAGATTGATTTTTATGCCTATTTAAAGTATGATATGCCACAAGGTCTGCACAAAGACATCTTTAATGAGTTATCTGACCTCTATCATAATAATAAGGAAATCTCATGGAAATTTTTCTCTAATATTCAGTCAATTTTCACAAAGAATGGGTTAGATGGTGTCATGTTAAGGAATGATAGAGACTGGTATTCATCCTTTCTCTCAATATCTAAGGAAGAGCATCAGAACAAATTCTTGAAGGCAATAAGTGAGAAATCATCTTTGACCACTTATCATGACCTTCAGCCTAGTGCACTTATGGCAGGGAGGACTATTTGTGTTATGTGATTTCAACTACCACGATACAATTGATCATAGACTGTTTGAATGTCCAGCTGATCGCTTTATTAGACATGAACTCATGCTTGACTTTAAAAATGCTTGTTATAGTGAAATGTTCTCATATTTCCTGCAATTGTCACTGCAGGAGAAAACTAAATGGGTACTGGGTTCCTGTAACAGAGATATTTGGGGTCACGACCTAGCCAGAAAATTTGATGCTTGGTCAAAGCGATTTTTAGTCAAATTATACACTTCCATTTAAGTAAGTTTGTATGACATGAAATAACTTTATGCATGTATATTTTTAATATGTATGTTTTAGTACATAGATGTAACTGTAAAAATGCTGCACTACAAGTTTGTATGTGCCACTGTTCTAAAAGTGTTTTAGCAAATAAATAAATTAAAAAAAGAAATACTACCTACCTTGACTGCAATTACTTTAATGTCAGCCATTATTAACTGTTACCTGTTATTTGCACACACTTTAACATAATTTAAGAATGATATCTCGCCATACATATAATGATATGAAAATGTTTATATTTATTTGTTTGAATAATGATGGGGAGCCATAGTGTCACAACTTAATCCCTGATATGCTGACCACTTTTAGATAGCTATGCAGTCAAGAGATCAAAATATCTTTCAAAATCATGCAGTTTTTCACCATTCTGAGCACTTTTTAAGTGAATTTTGCCATTTTTGGACCAAAGTTGTCACAAGTAAACCCCCTCCCTGGAATTTTTCAAAAAGTGAACCCTCCTTGGCATATCCTGGCTACGGGCCGTCTAATTTTCCTAAGTTGAGCATCTGAAGTTGTTTAGGTATGTAGTATAATGTCAAAAGGTGGCAAAAAAGAAAAAATCTCTGGTTTCAACCGATTTTAGAGCCTGGGATTCAAGAGGTTAAAGTATGCATTTTGGTATGATATTCTTTACTTTTATGAATATGTGAATAATATAACTGGAGAAATATGACAGAATGTACATGATGTAGATGTAGAATATATTGTTTTCTTGGTGAAATGCTAATTCGAGTAGTAAACAAAGTATACAATGATATGGGCAATAACCTATCATCCTCAGCCAGTCTTAAGCTATTTGCTGACGACAGCGTTTTATTCATGACAGTCGAAAGCAAGCAAGATGCATTAACACTACAGGAGAATCTAGATAAACTGGTCTCCTGGGCATCAACATGGCAAATGAAATTCCATCCATCAAAATGCTATGTGCTAAATATTCACAAAGGTAAATCCCCTATCATTCACAATTACACGCTAGGGGAAAACCTTAAGTCGGTAACACACATCCCATACCTAGGGATTGACATCACAAATAACTTACGCTGGACTACACATATTCAAACTATTGTATCCAAAGCCAATAAGGTGCTTGGATTCCTCAGGTGCAACCTCCATCAATGCCCTGAAAAAGTGAAGGCTCAGGCGTATAAGTCAGTAGTCCGGCCTAATTTAGAGTATGCCAGCTCGGCATGGGATCCATACTGACAAAAAGATATTGATATGTTGGAACAGGTACAGAGAAGAGCAGCCAGGTTTGTAACCAAATGTCACTCAAGGGAACCAGGCTGCGTCACCAAAGCTCTTCAAGACCTACAGTGGGAGCCACTGAAGGAGCGTCGAGAGGCTGCTAGAGTTTTCCTTTTCTACAAAGGCAAGCATCTAGCAGCCATCGACGTGCCTCCATACTTCCGCCAACAGATCAATACCAACACTAGGTTGTATCATCCTTCTAAGTTCATACAACCATCAACTAGAACGGATGCATACAAATTTAGCTATTTCCCTAGGACAATAGCTAAATGGAACACTCTACCTGGTGACATCTAGACTGTGACAGTCTAAGTAGTTTTAAATCATCATACTATGCCTATGTCAATAACTGCAATTAAATAGGTGTGTTTTTAACATAGATCTATGTTTTAATGTAAAGAGTCCCCAGTGCACAGCAACAAGCCTGCACTACTGGTAAAGAGGGGTGATGTCAACGTGGTAGCCTGACAGTCTCCCCAGGGTATTTCAACATAAAGGGACTTCCTAGGGGGGTACAGGGGCCAACCAGGAAGGTTCCTTTCAATTTTAAAATGAGCTGTAAACCATAGATCTATTTTTAAATGTTAAGATTTTAAATTATATTCTATTAAAATTCTATCACTGTTAAATTATATATATGCTTTATATGGGCTTATTAGCCTTTTGCAGATTATTGACATAGACATAGACATAAACCTAAATATTGTCTCTATTAGTAATGCAAAAAATAGTAAATTGACTATTTATTCCACTTTACATATTATGCCAACCACTAGAGAAATCTCTAAAAGCTTCCCAAATTCGATCAAAAATGATTTATTTTCACTTTTTTACTAGCCAGATTGTATTTACTAAAGTAAAATTTCTAAAAAAAATTAATGTTTAATTTTTTTCTGCAAAAACACATTTTTACCCCAAAACACATTTTGACACCTATTTTTTCTTGTTAAATCTCAGTATCAATTCAGAAACCATTTACCTTTCAATTAGTTAACATGACTTGCCTGCTCGTCAAAAAGAGGTCATTATATTTCCAATGTATGGGTTTATGTTTACATTCATTTCACTATATGCCAACCACTAAAGAAATATCTAAAACCTTCCAAAAATCACCAAATTCGATCAAAACTGGTTTATTTTCTCTTTTCCATCCAGACTGTATTTATTCAAATACAATTTCTAACTTTTTTTTTAATTTTAAAATTTTTTTCTGCAAAAACACATTTTTACCAAAAAACACATTTTGAGACCTATTTCGTCTTGTTAAATCTCAGTATCAATTCAGAAACCATTTACCTTTCAATTATTTAACATGACTTGCCTGCTCGTCAAAAAGAGGTCATTATATTTCCAATGCACTGATTCTCGTTTACATTCATTTCACTATTATGCCAACCACAAGAGAAATCTCTAAAACCTTCCAAAAATCTTCAACATCGATCAAAACTGGTTTATTTTCACTTTTCCATAGTCAATCAGACTAAAAAAATTCAAATTTTTAAAGAATAATTCTGCAAAAAACACACTTTGACACCTATTTCGTCTTGTTAAATCTCAGTATCAATTTAGGAACCCTTTTCCTTTCAATTAGTAAACATGACTTGCCTGCTCGTCAAAATATAAGATGTCATTATATTTTCAACCCCCTGATTCTAGTCTAAACCGAAAAAAAACCAAGACGAAAATATTTAATCAAAGTTCACTAAGGAGCATTTTAAAGGAACATTTATTCATTAATTCTTGTCAGTCAATTTTCAGCTTAAGGTTCAGCTGGAAAGTAACATTTTGGTAAAATATTGCTATACCTGTACATGTTATTTTCTGGTACAAAATTAAGTATGAAGGCATGTGTATATTTCCTTGCTTTTTTCAGGAAAGTATCATTACATTGTCTACTTTTAGTAAACCTGGAAACAGGTCAATGTTTTGACACCTATTTTTGACACCCTGTTATCTTTTAACTCTAGGTTAACCTATAGGAATATCAAAGATCTGTTATACAGTGCATTAGTCAGTTTGCCCAAGTATTGTGAAGCGTTTAATACAAACTACATGTGCTAACCATACTTTATACCACATATATACAATATGTATATTGGAGATTATAATGCCTAGTTTCTACATTTGAGATATAGGTTAAATCCCTTTCAAAAAGTTCAATACATTTTCACGGTGTATAACCCAAACGCTCCTATATGCACGACGGAGCGTTTCATTACTGAAATTAAACAAAGAAACGCTCCGGAGTAGGAAAACTGGCTGGCGGGAATGATGAGCCGTCTGACGATTTCCCCAATAATGGGAATAAGAGGTATGAGTTACATATTTCGAGTGTACCATTCGATTGGTGTGATATTCATGTTGTACGTGGCTGGCTGTTGACGTTTGAAGCAATTAGGAAGAGCTATACGAAGCAGTATAGTTATCAAAATTCAAAAACGTATTTGTCATTCTACCGGTCAAAACCCCTTTTGTCGATACATGTGATTAGTTGAGCCAAGATTAGAGCACCAACGTATATTTTAGTCAAATTGCAATGCTTCAACGCACCATACATTATCGTAATAGTGATTTGATGACCGAAAATCCAGTCTTAAAAATGATGACATTCTCATTTTTAACAAGTACAACACGTTTTTAAGAGATAGATTCGATTCGAGACTCTTCTCTAATAATCTGAAAATGATATCAAAACAAAATGGTAAGAGCGTTTCTAAAATTGTGTTCTAAATCGACGGAGCGTTTCGAGGAAAACAAGCGATTTCTCGAGAACAAGTAATGGATTTGGACTGGGATTTTAGGAAATGAGAATATACGAGTTTGTGATCTACTACTTTAACAGAAAGATTAACGTTTTCATAGAAATACTAGTTTAATTCGTAATTTGTGGTCAAAACGTCATCTTCAGATTCGTTCGATCTACACTACGGAGCTTTGATCAAGCAAATAACAGTTTACCACCAGAAGTTGAATAAATAAGATCTTTGCTCACGGTATTGTTCATCGAATGGTACATAATATTTCACCATTACATATGATATGTAAGAGAAACGAGAGAAACAATACTTACGGTCATAGTGGAATCTTCATTAGCCGCCATTTTATTTCGCTTCGGAGCGTTTCCGCGTAAATGTAACGCTCCGTCATGCATGTAGGAGCGTTTGGGTTATACACCGTGATTTTGAGCCTGGAAGCTAGCCATATTATAAATCACCAACCACCATATACCAAACCCAAATCAATACTATGTAATAATACCATGTTAATACTATAATTAATATCACTTAATACTATTCAATAGCATTTTATTCTAATAAGTGGTAGATGCACAATCAAAGACTTATATTATAAAAATAGACTTGAAACCAAAGGAAAACTGTTTTCATGTATTTTGTTGCATGTTGTGTTATAATTTTGATTTACTTTCTTACTTTGGTAAGTAGTACTTAAGTACAGTAGTACTTACTACTTATGTTGAACAGTCATGTTAGAAATGTTGAACATATTCACTCCCCAATCCCCAAAAATGATTCATCATGTTGTCATGAGGTTTTTTATATAGAATCAGTTTGAAATATTGAAACTTTACATCCTACAAAATGACAGCGATGTTAAGTAGGAACATAAGGGACCAATGCAAAACACGGTGCCCATGTCAAGCTGCGCGCCTACTTAGGCGCGCAGTTTGTTTCGATCACAAACTGCGCGCCTAAGAACATCGCATCATTTAAGTTGGAGTCTGTATTTTGAAACGTAATTTAAAGACATTTATCCTGCATTGTTTTCTTGTTCAATGTGTTCATTCTGTGGCGAATATACGAATCTTGCAAATACTAGCAAAAACTATGTGCAAATGAATCTAAGTTTTAAAACATAAGCAGATTAATGGCATTTTCGTCACTGATTTAACGGGAATTTATACGTAAATCGATCTAGCACTTTAAACATAAATAACAAATACTTTAGACTCGTTTTATATTTAATTCCTTACACATTTATCATGTATAATTCAAAATATTTCGAGATAAAACAGATAATCAGGAGATTAAAAAGAAATATATCACAAACTGCGCGCCTATTTTAGCCAGAAATTACAAACTCTGCGCATACACTATTAAAACTACATATTATCATTGGAATTTCTACAGAGGAACGTGTAGGTGTTTTTCATGTAGCTTTGGGAATTTTGCTTTATCGTCAGATTTTATGAGATTTTCATATTGGAAGTCAAAATGTATAATAGAAGTGACAATTAAGTTGGGAACGAAAAAAACTTTTATTTTCAGATCACCATCTTGGTGGATGGACTCTCATAGTGTTTCAATTATGGGGTTCTACTATTAGACACATATGTGCCTTGTATGGCGCTTATGTTTTCTAATAATACAAAACAAGCTTGGACAGGCAAGCAGTTTGGAAATATTAGGCACGCAGTTTGGGAAATACATGTGAATATAGGCGCGCAGTTTGACAAGAAAAATGTTTAAATCACGTTTATGGCGTATTATCGTTTTGAACACAAACTTTGCTGATTTAATCAGATGGTGTGATCCTATATATTCTAGCATACACAGACACAATGGCTGAATAAACGGCAAATGACGATAAAAAGACATAGATATAACTTTACACTGTAAATTTTGAACACAGAAGTTACTTAAGACCCTTATATTGAGATAACTAAGTTTACATCGGGAAAAACATTGAGTACTATGAGTAAATTAAGTTCATCTTCACAGAATGGTACTATCTTTAGAACGAGACTAACCTTGTATTTTTCGTATTTTGGCTCTTTTTGGGAGTCGTGTCCTCCCCGTCTCACATTTTGAAATATGCGCGCAGTTTGTCAGAGTTTCAAACTGCGTGCCTAGTAGGCACGCTGCTTGACATGGGCATCGTGCAAAAGATCGATGTCTGATAATTAACTAAATTTTGATAGTTAGGGGGAGGGTGTTATTGTTCCAAATAGTTAAGCTCTGCCAACATCGATTATTGAATTCCTGGGAATTTTCGCCATGGTCATTTTGTCCAGTCTGGATTCCTAAGAGATTCCCCATTCTCCATGAAAATGAAAAAACTTGAAATTTTATCATAAAACATCACATAAAACTTGATTAAAGAGGAATATGAAGCCAATTTATGGTAATTCTACAATAGACTATGAAAGACTATAGTGAACAAATTATGGAGTGACTCGCTTGGAGTGGGTAAGAAAGGTAAAATCATCTCACAAGCAACTGAAATTTGGAAATCATTAAAAAATGATTGCACAAAATTATGAAATATTGTAAAACCACATTCAATCCATGGTGGCGCTGGCGCGGTGCCAATAACCACACCTTTTAAGCTCAATTATTAATCCTCAACCACAGGCACGAGCAGGGGACAGTCCTCAGACAGCCATATGGGACAGTCACCTGGGGACAGTCGTTTCATTCACATGTAAGACTGTCAACACAGAGGTACTGGGGTTTAAAAAACAAGCACAAAACGTGTATACTTCTACAAAATCAATCATCAAGAATATATGAAAGTGCAAGAAATACCCTTCAATTTACTTGAACTCAAGTGCATTTGGATATATACTGTTGAAAATGCCGCAAGGATCAACATTTCTCATATTTAGTTAACAGGTGGTTTGTAGAAAAAAACGGATACCGGGTACCGGGTAGTTAATCCTCCATGCCGGGTTTAAACTTGGTACCCGGACGAAAAAAACGGGAAATAAAAAACGAAAAATATGAATATATAACATAATTAGATCATTAGAAAACGTGTAAGATTTGTTTTGAATTTACAAAAATGTATGTAACTTCCTTCAAAATCATCGCATAATTAAAGAGCACATATTTAGCACGTGTTCCTTCCACTGGATTGAGAAAGGGCCAGTGTGGTAGATTTGAAATGATTCATTACCGGGGCCACTAAACTGTAATATAGTCTATACTAGGCAGTTTATAACTAGACTCTGCTCGCAGGATACCATTTAGTATCTAGTATGTATCCAACAGACTGACTAGAAGTCAGTCTGTTATGATGTACTACTGTCCTGTGGAAATTGCAGTGAAATTTTTTGCTCAAAATTATCAATTACAGGAACTATTTCTTCAATAAAATAAACATTACAAAAATTCAATTAAGTAGTAAGGAACAATTAAATGCAATAAAAAGTAATACAGCATATTGTCAAGTGGAAATAAAGCTAGTTGAAGTAACAAATATGCAAATTAATTCACTCCATCGGCCATTTTGAATAGCACTTCCTATGTAAACAAATATTTCAATTTACCAAATCTTAACATAGGTTGCTTATAGTCTGAATATATTCAAAATTGAAGCATAAGCACAGTACTTGATTGATATTTGTGTTAATACTTTTTGGACTTTTCCATTTTCCTCGTGTTTACTTCCGGGACGGCGTTGCCTCTACCACTAAATACTGTATTGACCTTGAACTTTAATTTTGTGACATATCATCCAACCATGTCTGATGTAAAAATAATTCAAACATTTGAAAAGAATGTTTTGTGGTCTCTTTTGCAGACAAGTTTAGGACAGGGCAGGAGGATGGCCTGTTCTAAGATAGAAAAGTGCATGATCTACAGTTGAACTATTGGTCTGAATGAAATGTTGCGCGGAAAGTATGAATGGGTGGCCTGCTGTATTAGTCTATTAATATTCTAGGACCTGTTTGTGATGCTTTATAATTTAGACCAAAGTGTAGACGAATACACACACGTGTAAATTATAAAATCAACGAACAAAGATTCACTTTTCGCAAATGTTCGGTAATTGATTGTATTGAAACTTCCGGAACTTACTAGGAAATCATTCATTTTCACGATCCATAATTTACCTCTTGGATATTGTGCTAAATGCTCTATAGTTGACGCAACAAAGGTGATAGGGTTTCATTTAAATGTGTGTTCTAACCTCTAGAAGGTAAGTAAGACTCCTAATCTTCAGGTAAATCTTATTTTTCAAGTTCTACCAACAAGTCAGGCCATGAAATCTACTCTAATAGCTTTCCCATGGCGCACTTGGGCAGCTGAATAATAGTGACCCTTGAAACACGAATTAAGTCGATCAGCCGCTTACTTTTGGTCTCTAACTGTGTCTTAGCCCATGGCGCAAGTATTGGTATTGAGCGCTGTCATACTTCTTTTTCGATCAAGACTTGTTGTTCATCGAGTAAATGAATTTTGAGAATGAGTTAGCTTAGGACAACCTCCGGAGATTTACGAAAATGTCTGAGCAGAAAACGCCATATTGGAATTTGGCAGAAAAAACACCCTTAGGAAAAATGTTATGGGTAACCCTTAGGTTTCACATAACTACCCATATTGTTACCCATAGCCCCCAAGTACCCATAACGTAAGGGTAATTGATGCCGTATCCAACCTAAGTTTTTTGGTAATGACTTATAATGGGTAATAATGTGTAAATAATGGTTTTACGTTATGCCATTATGTGCAGGTTATTTGGAATTTATGTGTATGTTATGGGGACACATAATTTGCCCATAACCTACACATGACTTGCACATTGCTGATACATAATGCCCCATTACACCCCCATTATCTACAAATAACATGCACATAACCTGTACATAATGTACACATATTTTACCAGTCAGGGACATAGCCAGGGTCGATCGAGTCAAAAAAATATTTCTAAATTATTGAAAGGTGAATTTGTGCAAACACTGCCAAATTTAATAAAAAGTAAAGATTCTAATGTATAAGAAAGACATGAATTGTTAATATTCATAAAACATGTACTGCTTGTTTCAATGAAATTATACTGAAAGAAAGGTTATTGGTATCCAATCATCAGAAACACAACAGTTCAATAGTTTAATGAGATTTTTGGAAATTATCTGAAATATATTCTATATCTCAATACACATCATTAAGTATTTAGGGACTTTTTTAGTTTACAATGCAAAACATGCACATATAATTTAGTTTGTTATCCTGGTCCTAACAATATAGAAATATATTGAACTGGTATAAATGATATGAAAATATTTGTCATATTGTTGAGCATTCTATTAAGAATAGTGTCTCCCCCTTCAGAAAAATATAAACAAAGCTGAAAATGTAGAGTACCCATACTTTATGGGTAACACATAATTAACACATTGTCACTAACCATGCTTAGCCCATAACATCTACTTATGTTAAATTATGAGTATATCATTGTTTTAACATGTAAGTTTTAACCATAACTATTGGTTATGGGTAACATTATGGGTAACACTATGGGTTATGTACATATAAACCATAAATGACCTAATGAATTACCATTATTATGGATAACACTATGGGTAATACCCATAACATTTTTCCTAAGGGCATTCACTCGCCTAACAATTGCAAGTCTTGATCGAAAAGGAAGTACTTCAGCGCTCCAATACTTGCACGGAAGGATGATAATGATGTATGACACAGTTAGAGAACAAAAGTAAGCCGCTGATCAACTTAACCTCTTGACTATCCAGAGTGACGAGATTTCTCATCACCCCAGAAATGACCTTGAAACCCAGCGTGACGAGATAATCCGTCACAAAATCTTTCACTAAAATTGCTCTTAGTTGAACAATTTTTATCCCATTTACACAAAAATTGTTTTAAAATGTCTAAAAATGATCACTGTCATCTAATTTTACTAAATTGAATTAAATTGTTGTATATGTATGTAGTAAAATGTCAAAAGCTGGCAAAAATGAAAAATTATCTGGTTTCAACCTATTTTAGAACCTGCGATTCAAGAGGTTAATTTGTGTTTCAAAGGTCTATTACTCAGCTGTCAATTTCCCCGTTCGAGAGCCATGAGTTTCAAAATCTAACATGGCTCTCGAAGTGAGTAAGAGAAAACCACTTCACAAGATGGTATATTTCAACGGTCCGTCAGCTGGCTTTTGAGCCAGCTGTGTTCAGTAAGTTAGACAGTACATGGTGGCTGTAGACATGTATGTGAATTATTGGCAATGGTATTGAGAATGACACTTACTAACTTACACAAGCTTCTGAATCATCGACTGACGACCCATGCCCATCCACGGTTATGGGAAGTCCTCCATATATTACTATTATATTATTTCTCAGGTTACGCAGCTTCCATCCAAAATAAAAATATGTACGGTATTTCTAAAATAAATTATTTGTCTAGTTTTCGGTAAACAAATATCCTGAGACACATAGGGCCTGTAGAAAACACTAAACAGAAAAATAAAAAAAATATTCATACATGTACCTCCAAATCTGTTTTATTGGTCAGATAATGACCAAATCATAATGGTTGTTCAAAATAAAAATTTAAGGGGACGGAGCGCCGGATCTCGCGAGAATAAAGCAAATAACGCAAAGGCGCGCATGCGCACAACGGTACCCGGAAACATGGCTCAGTTTGTGAATTTACCACGGGAAAATGTCAAGGATTTAGTTGCTGCTCCAGGTCATAATGTTTGCATTGTAAGTCAAGCAGGAACTGCTAAGACAACTCTTCTTCGAGAATTACTTTATGGTGCCAAAAATGCCGGAAAAAAGGTAGAAAACGCAATAGTGTTCCCAAAAATTTTCGCGGGGTTTTTATGACACATGCGCAGTAGAAATTGTCAATTTACTGATGGGAACTTTCAATGGGAGAACTTTTACTCACGAGAATTGATGATTACTGAACACATATAGGCATAAGAGGTAAACGACCCAGTTATTTTTGCGTATAAATGTTTCAAGAATAGCATGATATCAAATAATCTGTAGATCTAGCCTACATTATGCTACGATTCATTCAAAAATTGAATCTAGGAGACAGGTGATGACCATATTTTTTTCATATTTTTTTAATTTTAAGTAACATTAACTGGTGTATATACCTCCTAGATGGAGGACTTCCCACTATCCGTGTGCCCATCCCATGAATGATCCAATCATGCAATAGATCAGAGATCTAGCCATTCCAAAACAATATTTTCATATAATTTTTCTACGGCCCCCGAATGCTCAAAACTTGACAATTTTAATTTCTTCCTTTATTGTATGACTTGTGAAGGTACCGAGATAAACCTGGTCGCAAAATTTATCTCATCGTGCGATGTAACTTAAACAAAGCCAGTTTATTAATAATATGTCATGACCCTTGGTAGTCTTAACGGACACTACTTAGTATAATCTACTGTACTAAAGCTAGTAATATTTAGACTATGAACATCTATATTCTTTGTCATGTTGTGTCTACTAGCCACATATATATACTAGAGTCCATTTCACTGCTTCATTTCGTCAGAAGAATGGCAAAAATAAGAAATTGGGAGACCATTGTGCAATAATATATGGAAAAGTATATTCATAATGTACATGAATGACATTTGTATATTTCAGATTTTTTAGTTTTTTGTGCAATAAGCCTGTGCCGTCTTGTAATTTGAAGAATTTCAGCCATGTTAATCTTATTGAAAATAACATGGCAGAGAAACATCCAAATATAAGAGGCCACACACTTTATAAGCCAAACTAGAAGCAATCCAAGATATACAAATGTCATTCATGTACATTATGAATATACTTTTCCATATATTATTGCACAATGGTCTCCCAATTTCTTATTTTTGCCGTTCTACTGACGAACTGAAGCAGTGAAATGAACTTTAGTATGTATTTATTCACATATACTAGTGGGTCTAGTGGCATTATTACGGATGGTGGGAGGTCCTCCATCTATCTAAGTAATATATGGAGGACTTCCCACCATCCGTGGGCATTACACATTTATATTTCATTTTTGTACTTAAGTAGTTTGTAGTTATTTGTATGCTTTGTATATGACCCCTGATGGGGATTGAAATACAATAAAGCTAGAGTCCATTTCACTGTTTCATTGCGTCAGTTGAATGGCAAAAATAAGAAATTGGGAGACCATTGTGCAATAATATATGGAAAAGTATATTCATAATGTACATGAATGACATTTGTATATTTCAGATTTTTTAGTTTTATGTGCAATAAGCCTGTGCCGTCTTGTAATATGAAGAATTTCAGCCATGTTAATCTTATTGAAAATAACATGGCAGAGAAGCATCCCAATATAAGAGGCCACACACTTTATAAGCCAAACTAGAAGCAATCCAAGATATACAGATGTCATTCATGTACATTATGAATATACTTTTCCATATATTATTGCACAATTGTCTCTCAATTTCTTATTTTTGCCGTTCTACTGACGAAATGAAGCAGTGAAATGGACTCTAATAAATTTGAAATTTGAATTTTATAATATTGTCCATGTTTTCTACCTAAAACTCCTAGTATTACTCATATTTTCATCAGCAATAAGAAGAATGGATGGTATTTCAACTACTACATTACAATAAACGTAATAATGAGCAATAGAAACATGGTATAGTAAAGTAATCGACAACTTACATTTTGTTTGTTTTCTGCAGTTGACATCTTGGCTGGAAATGAGGCTCGGGTTAATTCTCCCGGGATTATAACATTGCCAGCCATAGGTCTCTACTCAAAGTTAGTGGTATGGAATATCATCTGTATCAACTTAATAGAATGATGAAATAAAATTACATTTCATCATCGTTATAAAGCATCATTTATAAAAAATAATTACATAGAACGAAATATGTAATTTGCAATAAAATTATTTGGGGTGTCCACGCACCTGTCCAATCATAGGTCACTTTTAAATTTAGCGCCAACATCCGGGAACTTCAGCGGTTTCGACAACAAACTTGAATATGGTAAGATAATGGGGTCTTTTCTGCATTTTTCTAAATTACGATGGTCACAAGATGCCTGCTTTTCAGTCAGTATAGTTAGAATTATATCAGCGATTACTTTAGATTGAATTTTTGGTATGGTATGTTCAACACCAATTATGGAAAATCTTGAATAATTTTTTTCATAAGATTTAGACTAATTCCTAAACATGATGTAGGCTAAATCCTAAGCACAGACAGACAAGGGAAGGGAACAAGAGTTCATCCCCCTCCCACACACTATGTATCACTAATTTAGGTAGAAAAAGGACAGGCTCGAATCTTGGGAAATCTAAGTCTCTACTCTCATTGCTCATATCTCTGTGCCACTGAGTACAGTGCTGATAATAAAGGGTGCGTTTTCAAACCATGGGCTCTACCATCTGATAGAGCCCATGTTCAAACTAAACAGAGTGCTCCTGCCAAAATAATTTTGCCTACATACCCCTGAGACTCTTATCTGATAGATAGAATGCACAAATAAAACAAAAGTTTTGCTATATTAGGTAAAAAGTTCTCTTGAAATTTTACCTGTAATTCTGTCCATGGTCCGCCATTTTTGCGGAAGTTACACTGAAACGCAACCTCCATGAAACGAAACAAAATCACAAGAAAAAAGCATTGCACACATTGTGCGCATATGCAGCAAAGTTGAAACCAATCAGATTATTTGATTATTTTGCGCACATGAATTATTTGCATCTGAGCATTTACAAGCCTACCACAATAAACAAACCTGGCAGAGACTACCCTTAGCCTACTTCATTTTGGCGAAATTTCAGCTCAAACTCGTGATAAATGCATAATGCATACGCTGGTGTGAAGCCTTGGAGACACTCATTTTGGTAAATATGATTTATAGTGTATACTTTTCTGCAGTTTGTGGGAGTTTGGGACATTAAATGTTAAAATTCAAGAAAATATGCCAATTAAACGACTTATCAATTAATATATACCAGCACTATAGTGTCATGCATTATCTTTTGTCCCAATGCAAGGTTAAGACATCGAATCGTATTGATGGTACAGTGGGTAACATAAAGAATTACTATAGCTATGAAAAATACATGCTGTTGCACATGTAATAAATTCTTAACTCAGTCTATTCAGTGCTCTATTTTCTCCGTCCTAGTATTAAAGTCAAAATATTGTGGAGTTTGTGTCCATAATGACAAATAGGAACTAACAATTTGAAGTGGATATTCACATGTTAATGACGACTCTTTAAATGAATGCAACATGACACGTGCCAGCTTTCAAAATGCTGTCCGCCATTTTGAAACCTTTAACGAGTAAATAGGTAAGGTTAACTAATGTTGCATTCTGGGAGTCAATCCTCCTTGGAATTTAATCCATCATTTGCAGGTATGAAGCTTTGGATTCATTTATTGTGCTAGTGAACAGGAATAATTTTCTACTGCTTGGGAGAGTTTGAGACACGAAACTTAGAATTTAGCTCATTGTGACAACTTTTGATGGTTGAGGTTTATTAATGTCTCTAACTTTAACTCACCCATTCAGCACAATTGTGAGAATAACATTGGAAATGTGACGTAAAAACGAGTACTTATACAATCACAACAAATTGACATCTTTTTACAGCGACCTCTATAATATCTACGGCGGGTGACTCATTATTTTAAGAATTGAATTTTTTTTTTTTACCAATCTCAATTTTAGTATTTAGATATATCTGTGGTGATGCTATGAACTTATTATCCCAGCGAACGAAGTTCGGAGGGATATAGGGAATGCCTCCGTCCGTCCGTCCAGGCAATAACTCAAATACCGTTGGCCTGATTTTGTTCATATCAACCAGATTAATGATATTTATATACATAATCTGAGGATTTTAGAGAAGATCATTGGACATAATCTCACCATATTATGGTGAGATTAAGCTGTTAGAGAAGAGATTTGAATGCTTACGAAGTGAGCCTGTATTTTCTTACATTATACAGTGAGTGGGGGGATTTAAATCTTCTTCCTGACCCTGTGGTTGAGTAAGTAGCGCAGAGACGTATCTAACGATCATGGACTTAGTGTCAAAATATATTGAAATTCGGATACATGTACTTTCATCAAAGGAGGAGGGAAAGTATCACAACAGATTTGGGACAGTCATATGTTGAATTTTGGAAAAGCACTCATAGAGATGATGAAATAATTTTGACTTTGAGACAGGGAAGATGCAAACAACCCACCCACATGTTTTTTCTAAAATGTTGTCCTGACTTTCAACCCCTTCCACCCCTGCTTTTTCAATTTTTGTTGCATCAAAATGTTGCAAATAGTTGCGCTACTTTCCCTCCTCCTTTGTCTCTGACCTATGACTGCTGACCTATACCGGCGATTACTAGAGTGCTGCTAACTCGATAAAAGGCTGGCGCTGGCTAGAATTGTCTATGGTTCTAGCCAGGATAAAGATACCAGTTCTTCAACTCGACAATGGGAAGAACTGCTCTACCTTAGTGACTAATATGTCATGATATGACATCTAGAGTCAATAAAAGATATATATATTACATCAAGGCTTACATCTATTTTTATTAGCTACAAAGAAAACCCCTTAACGTACCTTATTTCTACCGATATTCACTATCTAAATAACAAATCAACCTAAATCCCCATGACGGCGGTCATATCGTATACCATGCATACGTTTATATCGACAACCTCTGGTCCTCGAAGCAGTGACACGGTGATACTGTAAACATGCGGTTGCAGTAAGAATCTTAAATCGTATATTCAAAAATGCTTCAAAAAATAAATTGTGGGGCATCCATCATTATCCCAACGAACAAAGTTCTGTAGGAATATAGTGAAGCCCTCCCTCCATCCGTCAGTCAGTCCGTCCGTCTGTCTGGAAGATAACTCCAATACTAGTCAAATTTTCTTCATATTTGTTGGAAATATGTATATTGTTGAATAGTTTTACGCAAAAAAATCTTATGTTTTTCATTTTAAACCAAATAATAAATATTATTATTTGAAATATTGGTAGTATATTAACAACATCTATCTGTTCCACATATATCCCAGGTTTTTCACCCTGACCCCCAGACCCCCCCCCCCCCCAGGGGCTGTAAATGGGGAATTGGGAAAACTGGAATTGCGTTTTTGAGATGTTTTTGAAGTATAGCTTTATTATGCTCAAATGAAAGGCAATTTAGAGTAGATTGCAGATACTGTAACGTTTTTCTGATTCGGCCCTCAAAAAATTGATATGGCCGCCTAATGCAAGATTTCACAATTATTTTCTGATCTCTTAAAAGTATGGCTATATTATACTCAAATTGAAGGAATTTCAGAGTAGATCACAATTATGGCATTGTTTTCTGATTTGCACCTCTGAAAATTCAAAATGGCTGACTAGAGCAGAAATTCGCCATTACTTAGAGTTATCTTGAAAGTATGGTTACATGATACCACAATGATTTAAAATATTTATTGAAGGTAAGAGTAGATGGTAAATATTACATTGTGACTGTACAGATTGATGATTTATATAGTTTTCGTTGGAATTTGCTACTCCGTGGAGTTATTAGAAGTGTATTTCCAAGTCTGATGTCCTCTAAGGTCTTTACTGCACCTTTTATTCATTTTCATTGGATTTATATTTCATTCATTGATCTCTGGGAAATGGTCCTATCACCCCACGGGTACTCTGGAAAACTACTGACAGTTTCAAAAATGATAACTTCAACTTACTTTGAGGATATGAAACGAAAGATCAACCTTTCTTCTAAAATTTAAGTGGTATTTGACATTTCTCAATCTCCGAACACTAACACTTTAAGACCCCTTAGACTCACATGAGTGATGGTCCTAATTATCCCAGGATATAGGGAACGCCTCCGTCCGTCCGTACGTATTTACGTATGTCAGTCCGTTGGCCCGATTTTCCACAGGCTCTTTCTGCATAGTGTGTTTAACATGTTAAACCATTTATTTATTCCTAAGTTTCTTAAAATTCAAATTTTCTCAATGTTTTGGACATTCTATTTACCAGATTCTATGGATGAATAATTTGCTAAAGTATCAATAATAAAACAGGTGTCACAGTTGGTTGGTGTTGAGCATTCTCATTGGTCACCTTTGAAAATCTCCATTATAATGTTTAAATTTACTGGTCTATGATGAAATTTACAGGTCTTATTATCGACCCAAATTAACAGGTAAATCAATTGTTCTAGTTATTGTAACACCACATATTTTAGAATTAAGTTATGCAGACTAAATCTTATTTTTGTATTTCAGTCAAATTATCGGAAATCTACCCTTGGAGGGGCTCAAAGAAAAAAAGCAGGTCCAAAGCCAGAACTGACGGAGGAGCAAAAGCAAGAAATAAGAGAAGCATTTGACCTTTTTGATGCTGATGGCTCTGGTACTATAGATGCTAAGGAGTTGAAGGTAACATTGAAATAATAACTCTGGTACTATAGATGCCAAGGAGTTAAAGGTAACATTGAAATAATAACTCTGGTACTATAGATGTTAAGGAGTTAAAGATAACATTGAAATAATAACTCTGGTACTATAGATGTTAAGGAGTTAAAGGTAACATTGAAATAATAACTCTGGTACTATATATGTTAAGGAGTTAAAGATAACATTGAAATAATAACTCTGGTACTATAGATGTTAAGGAGTTAAAGATAACATTGAAATAATAACTCTGGTACTATAGATGTTAAGGAGTTGAAGATAACATTGAAATAATAACTCTGGTACTATAGATGTTAAGGAGTTAAAGATAACATTGAAATAATAACTCTGGTACTATAGATGTTAAGGAGTTAAAGATAACATTGAAATAATAACTCTGGTACTATAGATGCTAAGGAGTTAAAGGTAACATTCAAATAATAACTCTGGTACTATAGATGTTAAGGAGTTAAAGATAACATTGAAATAATAACTCTGGTACTATAGATGCTAAGGAGTTAAAGGTAACATTGAAATAATAACTCTGGTACTATAGATGCTAAGGAGTTGAAGGTAACATTGAAATAATAACTCTGGTACTATAGATGTTAAGGAGTTAAAGGTAACATTGAAATAATAACTCTGGTACTATATATGTTAAGGAGTTAAAGATAACATTGAAATAATAACTCTGGTACTATAGATGTTAAGGAGTTAAAGATAACATTGAAATAATAACTCTGGTACTATAGATGCTAAGGAGTTAAAGGTAACATTGAAATAATAACTCTGGTACTATATATGTTAAGGAGTTAAAGATAACATTGAAATAATAACTCTGGTACTATAGATGTTAAGGAGTTAAAGATAACATTGAAATAATAACTCTGGTACTATAGATGCTAAGGAGTAAAAGGTAACATTGAAATAATAACTCTGGTACTATAGATGCTAAGGAGTAAAAGGTAACATTGAAATAATAACTCTGGTACTATAGATGTTAAGGAGTTAAAGATAACATTGAAATAATAACTCTGGTACTATAGATGCTAAGGAGTTAAAGGTAACATTGAAATAATAACTCTGGTACTATATATGTTAAGGAGTTAAAGATAACATTGAAATAATAACTCTGGTACTATAGATGTTAAGGAGTTAAAGATAACATTGAAATAATAACTCTGGTACTATAGATGTTAAGGAGTAAAAGGTAACATTGAAATAATAACTCTGGTACTATAGATGTTAAGGAGTTAAAGATAACATTGAAAGAATAACTCTGGTACTATAGATGCTAAGGAGTTAAAGGTAACATTCAAATAATAACTCTGGTACTATATATGTTAAGGAGTTAAAGATAACATTGAAATAATAACTCTGGTACTATAGATGTTAAGGAGTTAAAGATAACATTGAAATAATAACTCTGGTACTAAAGATGTTAAGGAGTAAAAGGTAACATTGAAATAATAACTCTGGTACTATAGATGTTAAGGAGTTAAAGGTAACATTGAAATAATAACTCTGGTACTATAGATGCTAAGGAGTAAAAGGTAACATTGAAATAATAACTCTGGTACTATAGATGTTAAGGAGTTAAAGGTAACATTGAAATAATAACTCTGGTACTATAGATGTTAAGGAGTTAAAGATAACATTGAAATAATAACTCTGGTACTATAGATGCTAAGGAGTTAAAGGTAACATTGAAATAATAACTCTGGTACTATAGATGTTAAGGAGTTAAAGGTAACATTGAAATAATAACTCTGGTACTATAGATGTTAAGGAGTTAAAGATAACATTGAAATAATAACTCTGGTACTATAGATGCTAAGGAGTTAAAGGTAACATTGAAATAATAACTCTGGTACTATAGATGTTAAGGAGTTAAAGATAACATTGAAATAATAACTCTGGTACTATAGATGTTAAGGAGTTAAAGGTAACATTGAAATAATAACTTGGTACTATAGATGTTAAGGAGTTAAAGATAACATTGAAATAATAACTCTGGTACTATAGATGTTAAGGAGTTAAAGATAACATTGAAATAATAACTCTGGTACTATAGATGCTAAGGAGTTGAAGGTAACATTGAAATAATAACTCTGGTATTATAGATGCTAAGGAGTTGAAGGTAACATTGAAATAATAACTCTGGTACTATAGATGCTAAGGAGTAAAAGGTAACATTGAAATAATAACTCTGGTACTATAGATGCTAAGGAGTTAAAGATAACATTGAAATAATAACTCTGGTACTATAGATGTTAAGGAGTAAAAGGTAACATTGAAATAATAACTCTGGTACTATAGATGTTAAGGAGTTAAAGATAACATTGAAATAATAACTCTGGTACTATAGATGCTAAAGAGTTAAAGATAACATTGAAATAATAACTCTGGTACTATAGATGCTAAGGAGTTAAAGATAACATTGAAATAATAACTCTGGTACTATAGATGTTAAGGAGTTAAAGATAACATTGAAATAATAACTCTGGTACTATAGATGCTAAAGAGTTAAAGATAACATTGAAATAATAACTCTGGTACTATAGATGCTAAGGAGTTAAAGGTAACATTGAAATAATAACTCTGGTACTATAGATGTTAAGGAGTTAAAGATAACATTGAAATAATAACTCTGGTACTATAGATGCTAAGGAGTTAAAGGTAACATTGAAATAATAACTCTGGTACTATATATGTTAAGGAGTTAAAGATAACATTGAAATAATAACTCTGGTACTATAGATGTTAAGGAGTTAAAGATAACATTGAAATAATAACTCTGGTACTATAGATGCTAAGGAGTTAAAGATAACATTGAAATAATAACTCTGGTACTATATATGTTAAGGAGTTAAAGATAACATTGAACTAATAACTCTGGTAGTATAGATGTTAAGGAGTTAAAGATAACATTGAAATAATAACTCTGGTACTATAGATGTTAAGGAGTAAAAGGTAACATTGAAATAATAACTCTGGTACTATAGATGCTAAGGAGTAAAAGGTAACATTGAAATAATAACTCTGGTAGTCTGGAAAAATCAGTAAGCCAGTAAGTAAAACACCTCTGTGAGTGGATCACATCTGTGAGTGGAACTCCTCTGTGAGTGGAACACTTCTGTGAGTGGAACACCTCCATTGGTGAAAACTCTTCAATGTCAAATTACCAATTAACTTAATCCAAGATGAACTTCTGTAAGTAGGACACTATTTTAAGTAGCAAAGGTGTTCTACTTAAACAAGTTTTACTGTATTTATCTGACATGTACATTAACTGCAATGAGCACTGTGTTATTTGTTTAATTCTGAATTGCCATTTTCACATATTAACTGTTATACCATAGGTGGGTCTCATAGTAATGCCATTTCTGTTTGCATTTATACATTTATATTTGTTGTTTACAGGTTGCAATGAGGGCTCTAGGATTTGAGCCAAAGAAAGAAGAAATTAAAAAAATGATTCAAGATATCGACAAAGAGGGTTCAGGTAGGAATAACATTTTTTGTCCTATGCCAAGTAGAGTTTTAGGGAGATAAGTTGGTAAGATATATCCTGTATCCTGATTTTGAAGTTTCCATATCCAGAACCTCCATATCTCCCGCTTTGGTGCCTATCTTCCCGCTTCCGGTGCATATCTTCCCGCTTCCGGTAATGCAATAAAATGACTTTGCATATGAATGATTTGTTTATTTTTACACCTTGTACTATTGAAATGGCAATATGCCCCTGAAAACTCTACTTGGTATAGGATAAAGCAGTTATGTAAGGTCGGTTTGGATATTGGGTTCATCCCTCGTGAGATGTGCACATCTACCTTCGGTCCCTACGGTCCCTCAGGTAGATATGCATATCTCCCTCTGGATAAACCCCATATCCAAAACCTCCCAGTACATAACCCTTATATATTTCATTATTCAATGGGAGGTTTGTGAATTCCACAATTCTTACTGTATTGTGTATTTATGAGAATTTTAAGATAATGATTTTGATTTTGCTTGTTTTTAATAAAGACATCTCTATATTATCTTTCTCTCTATATTTTCTAAGAAAAGAACCAAAGAAACATTTATATTTTTGTATGATGGAGAACAACTCAAAATTGAAGACTCATTCAAGTATTTGGGAGTCTAGTTCTCTTATATTCGCAAAGAATGTCAATTTATTATTACGCAATGGAGAAAATGCTATGTATGGTGTCTTAGGCAGATGTACATAGATGAGCTTGCCACTCGTTATTTGTTTCAACATTTTTGCCAATTTTTACTTATTGATGTGAGGTATGGGGATGCTCCAAAGCAATGCTCATGTAGGGAAAAACTTCATTTAAGATATTGTAAATATATCTTGAGAGTTAAAACGAGCAATACCATCGTTTATGATATACAGTGAGTTAGGTAGATACCCTATTAAAATATCAAAAAACAAGGATAATTAATTTTTGGACTAAATTAGTCACAAGTGACACTTTAATTAGCATATTTCAAGTTTGGGTTTTGGTACATAAAGTGAATTTTCCACAACTGCTCTAGTAGCATAATTATGGACAGACTTTGTCTCTTTGAAACAGTTTTGAACATATGGGGGAGAGATGCCTGAAATGGCCTGGTACATTAAAATTGATTTCCTGTTTCTAATCATTTCCAGAATTGGAGTCCAATTTAGGGACTCAAATAAAGTGACGCTTGAAACTTCAAAATTAACTCTCAGTATAATTGTTGAATAATCTTTTCTTGCAATAAAAATCAGAAAAAGAAGATTCTCTTTTGAGCAAATAAGTTCAACATTTGGAAAAAATTGTTGACGTGAGGTCCCTATTTATAATTTTTCGAATTGTTCGATTGATATTTTTATCATCATGGGGACTTCACTTGAAAGAAAACATATTGTTTCAATGAAAACCACTGTATTTATGCTCAGAAAAAATACTCATGGTGAAAGATATGACCATCTAAAATCACTTGCCATACTGCACGTGGGCCTTTGATTTTTTTCATAATATAGATTTGAACGTTTTCTTTTTAATAGTCATAATTTAATTTGGGTGATTCTTCTTGATTTTTCATGAAAAAGGATTAGCACAGTACATTGATGAACTTCTTTCTCCAAATCAAGACTTGTATTTTATTGAATCGGTCTACTGCACGTTATCCCTGCTTGGGACAATTTTGATATCTTGTAGATTTAAATGTCCTCTTTTGAATATTCATAATATTAACTTTATTGGTTTCTTGAACACATTTAAGGTACATTGAGATATAAGTCCAATAAAGCAAATAACAAATAAAACATTCATGAACTCTTGTAAAATATTCATCACTTGTTTCATTAATTGTATCATCGTGCGCTAGCAAGGAGTATAAAATAGACTTGTGAGATGAGAAAAACCATTGTTAATACAATACTATTTATTTATTTTACTGAGATATAGAGATCGAGCTAGTTTTAGTTCAGATTGAGAACAACAAAAAAGAATGTGTTCTTCATCACCTATTGTATTTATCGAATTACAGAAATAACAAAATCCTTTCAATTTTTCTACTATAAAGTATCGGGAAGTTGTGCATCGATAACCAAACATTAGCAATAGATTGTCTATATGTGGAGTTCTGTCAATTTAGATAACTTTCTCTTTTATATGCATGTTTTACTAATTTATAACTTTTGAATTTGCCTGGAGCATCATTTGATCTATTGATGTTTTGGGTAAACGCACAATATGAATATTCATAATTTAATTTGGGTGATATTTCTCTATAATTCATAAACAATTATTAGCTCAGGAGACTGTTCTATATTAGTGAAATGTGATTCAAGGGGGTTTAAACATAGATTATCTTTGTTGTTCTACAGTTGATGACGACACTATCCTTTCTATCCTATCCTATCTACACATTGTGCAAACATTTTATGATTTTAGGAACAATAGACTTCAATGATTTTCTTACAATGATGACTCAAAAGATGAGTGAAAAAGACTCAAAGGAAGAAATCCTTAAAGCATTTAGGTAATTCTTTGTAGAATTTTATTTTTAGCAAATGTTTATTACAGTTTTGAAACCATATTAGTATTATTAATACTTTATTAGTATACATATTTATATATTTGTATAAAACTGTATGCCTTGGGTTTTACACAATAAACAACTGAGAATATGTAGCAGTATTCAATAACATCATTCTGCTTGGGCCTTGTCACTTAAATGCATCATCAATAACATGTGATCATTCTGCTTGGGCCTTGTCACTTAAATGCATCATCAATAACATGTGATCATTCTGCTTGGGCCTTGTCACTTAAATGCATCATCAATAACATGTGATCATTCTGCTTGGGCCTTGTCACTTAAATGCATCATCCATAACATGTGATCATTCTGCTTGGGCCTTGTCACTTAAATGCATCATCAATAACATGTGATCATTCTGCTTGGGCCTTGTCACTTAAATGCATCATCCATAACATGTGATCATTCTGCTTGGGCCGTGTCACTTAAATGCGTCATCAATAACATGTGATCATTCTGCTTGGGCCTTGTCACTTAAATGCATCATCAATAACAGTGATCATTCTGCTTGGGCCTTGTCACTTAAATGCATCATCAATAACATGTGATCAGTCTGCTTGGGCCTTGTCACTTAAATGCATCATCAATAACATGTGATCATTCTGCTTGGGCCTTGTCACTTAAATGCATCATCAATAACATGTGATCATTCTGCTTGGGCCTTGTCACTTAAATGCATCATCCATAACATGTGATCATTCTGCTTGGGCCTTGTCACTTAAATGCATCATCAATAACATGTGATCATTCTGCTTGGGCCTTGTCACTTAAATGCATCATCAATAACAGTGATCATTCTGCTTGGGCCTTGTCACTTAAATGCATCATCAATAACATGTGATCATTCTGCTTGGGCCTTGTCACTTAAATGCATCATCAATAACAGTGATCATTCTGCTTGGGCCTTGTCACTTAAATGCATCATCAATAACAGTGATCATTCTGCTTGGGCCTTGTCACTTAAATGCATCATCAATAACATGTGATCATTCTGCTTGGGTTTCATGATCTTAAACAGAATGTGACATCACTTTATCTCACTCATTAATTTCTCTTATTAATATCATTGAACAACTTACATTGTCATCTCTTGTTACATACACCTCATTGGTATATGAGCCATTTCTACATTTCAGGTTATTTGACGATGATGAAACTGGAAAGATCTCATTTAAAAATCTAAAGCGGGTAGCAAAAGAACTGGGAGAGAATCTAACAGATGAAGAATTACAAGTATGTTATTGAAATGATTTGATAAATAAATATTGCTCTGCGAAATGTTTTGAATTTAAATAGCATACCAAAGGAAACACTTGGTAAGTGGAGTGGATTTCATGAATATTCTATTTCTACTTTCATATTGCTCTGCCAAGCACTTGTGCCTCATTTAAGTCAAGACATTGCTAGTCTACTGAAATAGGAATGAAAGCACAAGATTGTTTATTTTATTGCTAGTCTACTGAAATAGGAATGAAAGCACAAGACTTCATTTTATTGCTAGTCTACTGAAATAGGAATGAAAGCACAAGACTTCATTTTATTGCTAGTCTACTGAAATAGGAATGAAAGCACAAGACTTCATTTTATTGCTAGTCTACTGAAATAGGAATGAAAGCACAAGACTTCATTTTATTGCTAGTCTACTGAAATAGGAATGAAAGCACAAGACCATTCATTTTATTCTGACATGTTGTTTTCTACTTTCAGGAGATGATAGATGAAGCTGACAGGGATGGAGATGGTGAAATAAATGAACCTGAATTTTTAAGAATTATGAAGAAAACTAGTTTATATTGAGAACATATATCTTTACAATCCATTTCAACACATGACGTCATAATGGTAGACATTGTATTACATTTCCTGGCACCTGGATTTTGGAATATCTATGTATCTGAGTGACATTTATATGTGAAATTCATAATTGGTATAAGTAAAATCATGAGGCCTACCTGTACAAACTCATATGATATGGTTAATAACATCTGTATGTGCAGAACGTCTTTTGTAACCACACTTGACATATTAAATGCACTGACATGATAACACGTTTACTATCATTGGGCATGAGGAGTGTGTACCCCTGGCTGTGAATGAAGGAAAACCTGGTAATTGCTAAAAAATGGAAATCTTAACTCACAAACTGTAGATTTAGATAAATGTATTGTGTAAAATATGTAATATAAAAATCTAATTTACGTGATTTAAAGATTGTTATAATAGAAAATGTTCAATTATTTTCAACAGTACTTATGTTCACATCACTTTAAGCGTACATTCCACATGTTTTGTATTGAGGGTTGTATGTCAAATATGTCCAAATGGTGCTAGTGCCAAATATGTTTATTCCTAAATAACATTCAAGATCTGAATTATGTAGAGGTTCTCTTAGTCAAATTCTGATCATTGAAACACACAGATAAGCAAAATAGGATTTTTTATGTATTTAATCAACTTGATGAAATTAATACTCATTCTGATTTTCTTATTATGACAAACTTAAACCAACTTCACTTGATCATATATAGTCACAATTTTATGTTGTATGTTTGGTTTCAGAACACGTCCGTTGTAAAAGGGATTTCTGATGACCCAGTTAATTCATTCAGTTCAATTTGAATGAATGCTGGCTCAGAAAACCTTCTCGTTTAGAGACGTAACAATTTTTAATCTACAATACTGTCATTTTCAACATTGTAGATTTTGTTACTTTGTGATATTTGTAAATAATTTCAGTGTATATAAGTGTACTTTGAAATAAACTGTTCACAACCCAAAAAACTTTTATGTAATGGCTATTAAGAAGTATTGAACTAAGATTTTGTTACCTGAATTCTGTAAGTTCGAATCATATTTTCTTCCAATATTACAATTATAATTTAATCATTACCATAAAAAGGCTTTAACACTTGATCCTAAAGGGGACCTTGATTGCCAGAGAAAGAACCATGGAAGTCATTGCAACCAATTTAAGATGATCATATTTTGGATTGTACTCAATATCATTAACACAGGTATATCTCTTCAATCCATTTTCATCTTCAAAAAAAGTATATATCACCATAATTAAGTTATCAGACTAAGTTGTTAAAAGGTGCAATGAACCCATCAACATAGTTTTTCAAAATGTTCATCTAATTTTCACTGAAAAGGCAACCTTCTTTTTTATAATGTTTAATGCACAATTAGAATGTGCTTTGAGACATGTTTTATTTCCTGAAAGGAAAAGTGGAATGCTCCATGGACTTGAGATACTGAATTTGGGTGACCAAAATGAACTGCAATCAATGGGTAGCAGGCACTTAGCCAGAATTTTCCAAGGGAGGGTCACTTTTCGAAAAAATTCTAGGGGGATTCACCTTGGCAAATTTGGCCAAAAATCACTCAAAAAATAGTCGGAATGGTGAAAAACTGCTTGATTTTGAAAAACATTTTGCCCCCCCCCCCCCGGCTACGGGCCTGGGTAGCATACATTTGTGGCAAAAACATATGTTTGAACAACTGGTGACATCTATGTTTGATTTGCTCCTTGGTTTGGAAAGTTCCTTTCATCCAAAATCCATATAGATTTAATAAGACCAAAAATCAATAACTTAATATTCAGTTGATTCATATACTTGTGGCCATGGATTAATCTAACAATATTCTACAATGTGTTGGTCAGACGTCTGTTTATCTTGGAATATTATTTCTATAATCCCATTGTGTTCCTTCTTGAAATCCTGTGCAAATATATACAGTAAAACTGTATAATTCAAATGCCATATTGAGCACCCAAAATGTTAAAACTAGCAGGTATGGATACAATAAGGTTTTTACCATATAAGTCAATGAGAGAATAAAAATTGAGACGGGAAAGAGTGTTCATATTTGAGAGGTGTTCGTGTTCGACAGGTGTTTATGAATACAGGGCTTACTGTACTGACATGTATTTAGCCAAATCAATAGGCTTATGTATTGGAGCTATGAGGTCGCTATTTAGGTATATTCACACTTGAAACTTACCGACCATTGTTGGCACCAAGCAGTTTACTGGGAAATATTGACATTAGAGTTCTACTGACAACACACTGATGGAAATAATGGAGTTTCGACTGCTCGTGGATTAAATAATTGAATATAGTCATTAGGAGAGAGTAAAGTAATTTAATTAATATTAATTGAATATCATATTAAATCAAGTTGTTGTAGTCAAAACAGTAATGTTTGTTAATACTTTGAATTTAAAAAATAAGCAATCAAATGACCATATTGAAACAGTTTATGTAAAAATAGAAACATTTATATTTATCCTAACTTTTGTATATTTCAGATAGTTATGTATAATGTGCAGCAAAGCTGTGGCCTTTTGTAATTTAGGGAGTTTCAGCCATGTTAATTTTTCCGAAAATAACATGGCAGAGAAGTATCAAAGTATAAGAGGACACAGAAATGATAGCTAAACTACAAAACAAACTAAAATATACAAAAGGATAAATATAAATGTTTCTATTTTCACATAAACTGTTTATGGTCATTTGATTGCTTATTTTTTAAATTCAAAGTAGTCACAAACATTTCTGTTTTGACTGTACTCAACAAAGTTGCAGTTATTTAGTTTACATAATTTCAGTTATTGACAAAATTATTGAAAAACACACGAGCTAAATATAGTTTACATACATTTTCATTTAGGTTGTGTATCCAGCAAAATGTTGGAAGATCAAATTTGTATTAAAAGTCATGTCACATTATGAATTATCAATTTGATGCCAAATGAATTCATTTCAGATTTCTGCAAATTGTAAGTGAAAATGTGTCACAATGGAGGCCTCTGGTTGGTTGTCATTCTAACAATCAGTGTTATTCCTGTGCACATTCATGCCGGTAAGTTCACTGTACACAGTGACTAAACTGACGCAGTCAAAGCAAAAATCGAAGCCAAAGACTGGAATGGAAAGTTGAAAGCTCGGGCGCTACTATTTCCTTTCTCGTTGCACCTCTATTATTGACAGTGTTTAGGTAACAGTGAAATATATATGAACTCACTCGTGTTTTATTTCTTGAAACTTGGTAAATCATCATTTTGACTGTGTCAGTATTTTCCCATGTGACGCGTGTGTAGAAAGTGATTTTGCGTTGATGAATGTAGTAAGCTTACTATAGTATCATTTTTACTTATTAGATCACATTGAATTATCCCTGACTGTAGTTCATCAAAAAAATGTTCTAAAAGACTGAAACATCAAATATTCAAGATGTCACTGTGTGCAACTGAATTCATACTTAAATCTATCATGAATTCGATTTCATCTTTTTTAGATGACTATCAATTAAGTTGGCAAGCTGGAGATGGACCGTTAACTATTACATACCCACAAGACAGTTCACAAATGTAAGTCAACGTATAAAAACCTTCTGATGTGGAACGCATTTGGTTCTCAGCGTTTCAAATGTTTTTACGTCCCGGATGTTCAAACTGGCTGCATTCAGTGCGTCACCTTTGGACGTAAAAATCACTTAACGTGAACAAAAACTACTAGTCTATAATCTAAGTTGACACGTCAGCCTAACTGACGTTTGTTGTCTACTTGTACATTAGATTTTCAATATTTATTGAATTAAGGCCATGTGTGAATGAAGAAAGGGGCAGCAAAATAGAGAAAGGAAAATGTTGGAGGCAATCTCCAGAACGTTCTCTTTCACTTTTTCAAAACTGTTCGTGCTAAAATCAAGACATAAGAATGATAAAAAGCTCGGCATCTTTTGCACAATATCTTGGTATGGAATGTTAGCAAACAACATTGCAAACTTATGACGATTTAACACACCTAACAATGAATGTATTTCTATTTCAGCTTTAAGGAGGATGCTACATGGCAAGTAGCATTGCCTTATGGGTACACACCTCGTGTTGCACTCACAAGTTGGACCTCTGTGCAGTCATTTTTAGGAGTCGAAGTCTCTGCGGATGAGTGTGAAGATGCCGATAGTTATCTTAAAGTCTATGCAGGCCAGTCAGGTACTTTAATAGAATACAAGGCATGACATGCCATATCACCCTGGTGCATTGGTGCAATTACATAAATGCATGGCTTTCTAATTGCAAGCCCATGCTAAGTGTAACCATATAATGCAGATGCCGATTGTCTAGTGTCTGTAACAATAACAATTTAAACCATTTCTAGATAATGAGATAATATTGTATTTGTCATTTCATTTATATCAACTGCTTGTTGGATTTTGAGTACTCTTGTTATTAGTGCCATCGGTTGAGGGCATCTTTGATATCTTTATTTTGTTCATTGTCACACTCAATCAATCAATCGCAATTGTGATATACAACGGCGGAGTACTAATTGTAAAAAAGAATCACCAGAAAAACATATTGAGAGTTGAACCACCCTATTCTCTAAGAGCATCTTTGTTACTCGATACTTTTTCACGGGCTCTGTTTTATTCTCTTCCATTGGCTTTCACGTTAAATCCATGTAGACAATACGAGTCTTTAACATTCACCTTATTGTAATTATTTGACGAATGAACTTACTCAGCATTTTAGAAAACATGTCTACGTGTTTTACTGTATTTGTTTGACGACGCTTTTTTCTATGTATTTATTTGTCAAATGAATTTGCTTAACTTTTGCAGAAGATACGGATGCACTCATCTATACGTGGTGTTCCGATGATGACAAAATTACACAAGTTCGACCTGCAGACGATGCTGATGATAATGATGTCTTTCTGTCATTCCACACAACCTTTCTTTCATTAGCAAGCTTCAGTGTTTCTGTATGGGGAATTCTAGATACGAGTTCTGGTAAGTTAGATTGTATAGAAGGGTACATAGAGATTATCCTATATGAGGTTCAGGATATTGGGATTATCCCGAGGCAAATTTTTTTTTTCAAATAAACATCAATGATGCATCGCTACAAACGGAAAAAGAAACTACTACTTGTGGATGGCTTCGTAGGAAAATTAAGTGAGTGTCCTTTACTGCGTCATCAGCAGGCGTCTCAGATCGTCACATTTCGCCCCTTAGCCTGTATGCATAATCTGAGTGGGGCAGCGATGGTAAGGTCTTAAACATCGCTCGCTGAAGGACACCACTTGTCATTCCTCTTGAGCCAGAGCCACCGTGAGCTGGACTCTGCCACAGCACCTACTGCCTTAACTGCCGACTTCAGCTTGGATGGTGTTAGTCCTAGCTGAGATAGAAGGTAGCGCAGCGAGGAGGCTGGGAACCCCCTACATCCCACTTCTATTGGGTACTGCACTGCATGCCACCCCCTTGTTATGGCCTCGTCTACCAGATCTTGGTATTTGGCTTTATTTGGCTTCTTAAGCTGATGGGATATTTCCAGTCGGTCTTCCCAGGGTACTGTGAGCTCGATGATGATGATGCTCCTGCTGAGCTGAGATATCAGCAGCATGTCGGGACGGAGCTTGGTGACTACTATATCCTGTGGGAAGACAAGTTTTTGGAAGAGGTCAGTTCTTAAAGTCCAGTCTGTTGCCTTGGTGAGAATGTTGGGCTGGAGTACAGGCAGAGATGGCTTCTGATGGGCTTTGCTGCCTTCTTTGACAAACTTAACGAGTCTTGGTCTTACATTGCCCCTACTGGTGTTGTGGGAAAGTCTTTGCTGGTCTATCCACTTGGCTACCTCTTGGAGGACCCTGTCGTGTCGCCATCTATATCTTCCGTCACCTAGGGCTTTAGGGCAGCTGCTGAGAATATGGTTAAGTGTACAATCAGCAGCCATACACTGAGGGCAGTTAGCTGTCTCTTCCTTGCCCCAACATCGGGGGTTTGATGGAGATGGTAGCAGGTCAGAGAAGGCTCTTAATAAGAAGCTGAGTCTTCCTTGGTCCATGGGCCAGATGTCTTTCCATTTCAGGGAACGCTTCAGAGCAGGTTCCCAGTTGGTCCAACTTCCCTGCTTAGCAAGGCTTACAGCCTTTACCAGTCTGTCTTCCTCTGCCTTGTTTCGTATCTGTTTCGTAATCTGAACTCTCCTACTCTTGCTGGTCAGCTGATGTGGACCATAGTGCCCTAGCCCAAGTCTTCCCTTGCAAACAGTTCCAACAATCTGTTGGTGACTTAGTCGGTCACTGGCTTCTGCTGCAGCATCCTGTGGTTTCCACACTCTTCCGCAAGTAATGCTTTCACCAGTCTTCCGGGCTTTGGGGTCTTTTGATTGTTCTAGAGTCGTGACAGTTCTAACTTTGGTGGCCTTGAACTCCTCCACAACTGATGTCACTGGTAAGGAGAGTTTGGAAGTAGAGCTGTACAGATTGACAGAGCTGAAGGAAGGGGGCAAGCCTAGCCATTTCCGAAGGTGCTTGCTGCATGTTTTCTCCATGGCCTGGACAGATGATAAGGGTATATCATACATCTGGAAAGGCCATTGCAGCCGAGGAATAATGCCGTACTGAAAGCACCATACCTTGAAACGCCCTAGCAGGTGACTTGAATCAATGGCTCTTAGCCACTTGTCTAAATCCCTTGCCACTTCAGCTGTATTGTTCACATCTCGTAAGGTCCTGTCATAGTTCTTCCCGAGGCATCTGATTCTTTGGTCTTGTACTGTAGGTATTAGCTCCCCCTGGATTTTAAACTGTATGGGAGAAAGCTTTCCATCTACCAGTACCATGCTTCTTGACTTGGTTGGTTTAAACTGCATTCGGGCCCAGTTTGCAATTCTTTCTAGTGCTGACAAAATCCATCTGGCACCTACTGCTGAGACTGTCATAACTGTGTTACAGTAGTGAGCTACATGTTTATTATATTCTACTATATTCACCTATAGTTTAATTTGTAATGTATGTTTGCTGTATATGTTGAGCTATTCTTTATTAGAGATCTTAGGTCAAGGTCACAATGACATTATACACTGTATCTTGTAAACAGAACTGAACTGAATGACTCATTAACCCTTGACCATCCAGATAGTTCTAGAAATTATAACCATTCATTAAAATTTAATCATGTCACTAAAGATGTCCAATCAAGATGTAGTTCCAGAAGATTCGTTTCTGGATCATTCTTTCACATTATAAAAAGAACAGCACAGTGACTCTCATTAGCAGATAATTAAGTAATCATAACTGGACATCTCAAAGGAACTAAATAAAGCAGAATTTCAAAGTTGATCAAAGGACATCTTCTTATATTAGCGGAATATTACAGACACCTACTGTGGGAACATTTATAACACTACAAACACACAACCTGAGGACTTTATATGGACATATATTACAACACACACTATATACGGATTATCATATACATTCGTGGATTATCATAAACATTTGTGGATTATCATCAAACATTATTGGATACGAACATTATAGGATTACAACAAACATTATTGGATTATTACAAACATTGGAGAACTATTAACGATTATTGAAACATTTCGTGATCTGGATCATTCTCAAGGATCGTCAACGACATTTATCGACATCAAGAATAAGCCGTACCATTGATTGGACATCACTTAAGTATTAAACCTCCTTTATATTATTGTTATATTATTTAGTTTTCAAAGTATAAATATATTGTTATCATATTTTAATTGCTGTTTTTACTTTCTGTTAGTTTCGAACGTAACAGAAATTGGGGGCTCGTCCGGGATACAACTACAACAAGCTAAAATTCATAAATCTTAAAATTTATAATTCCAAATTTATATATTTAAATTGTGAAGACAGCAATTAATCGAAAATGAGTTTTGAGGTTGAGACATTTTTAGAAACGCCCTCTTTGGAGGAATTTGATGATTTAAAGAAAACTGAACTTCTGGCAATTGCAAAACATGTTGGGCTATCAGTCAAAAGCTCATACAAAAAGGATACAATTAAAAACTTTGTACTTCAATATTTGGTTGCAGAATCACTTCTGCCTGAGCAGCCAGTCCAACATGTTGACCCTGTTGATCCTATTAAGCTTAAAGAGTTTGAAATAAGAGAGAAAGAGCTTGAATTTCAAAAGCAATTAAAAATTAGAGAGCTTGAATTTAAATTAAAAAATGAAAAAGAATTAAGAGAACTAGAATTACAAAATGAAATTCGAGAGAAAGAAATGCAACAAGAATTTGAATTAAAACAACTTGAATTAGAAGCTAAATTCAAATATGAAGAACATGCTCTTGAGCATCAACATTTCAAAAATAGGTTCGATGCAGCAGAAAACATTGAACTTGTACCAAAGTTTGAAGAGAATAATGTTGATAAATATTTTCCTCATTTTGAAAAAGTCGCCTTGTGCCTAGATTGGCCAAAATCAGTATGGCCTGTGATGCTTCAAAGCAAGCTTACTGGTAAAGCTAGCGACGTGTATTCAGCTCTCTCGATTGAAGCAAGCTCTGATTATGATCAAGTTAAAAAGGCTGTTCTTAAAGCCTATGAACTAGTGCCAGAAGCATATAGGCAAAAATTTAGGTATACTTATAAACAGGATGATCAAACCTATGTAGAGTTTGCTAGGGAGCAAGAGCAATATTTTGACAGGTGGCTTGTTTCTAAAGATGCATCAGAAGACTTTAAGAAGCTCAGAGAGCTTATGCTTATAGAACAATTTAAAAATTGTGTTCAGCGCCGTATTAGAATTTATTTGGATGAACGCAAGGTAGAAACTCTAAGTCAAGCTGCCACCCTGTCTGATGATTATGCTCTTACTCATAAGGATAGTTTTATCAAGGGCAATCCTAACTTTAGAGGTTATCAGGGTAACAAACCTTCATATGACTCTAAATCAAATCAGTCCTCATCATCAAATACATCAAACAAAGCAAAAGACCAGTCTAATTCAAAATCTGATCAATCAAATTCTTCAGGTCCAAAATCAAATGTCACCTGTAATTATTGTAAAAAGCCTGGTCATCTTATTTCTGAATGCTATAGGATTAAGAATAGAAGAGAGATGTCTGGTTCTGCTCATTCAAATGGTTGTGCTACAGTTCCCATTTCAAGAAAGCCCATTGTTTGGGATTCATATACTCATACTGAGAAATCTACTCATGGTGATATTATGGAGGATTATAAGCCTTTCATGTCCGAAGGATCTGTGTCACTGTCAAGTGATGGTACCAATTCAAAGCCAATTAAGATTCTAAGAGACACGGGTGCATCTCAGACTTTGTTGTTAGAAGGTGTCCTTCCTTTATCTGAGGAGTCATTCACAGGTACCCATATTTTGATGCAAGGCATTGAATTAGGTTTTACTAAAGTTCCCCTCCATCGTATTCATATCACATCAGAGTTAGTCAAAGGGCCAGTTATTGTTGGTGTTAGGCCACAACTTCCTGTTGAAGGAGTCGCATTGCTTTTAGGCAATGATTTAGCTGGGGGTAAGGTATCATTAGACCCCATTGTTTCTGATCAGCCTTGTTCTATTGAGGATTCTGTCCAAGAGGACTCTGATATATATCCTGCTTGTGCTGTTACTAGGGCTATGGCTAAAAGGTTAGCTAATAGCGGGGATTCGTCTGTGGGAGATGACTTTGATAGTGGGTTTTTAAGCTCCTTGTTTGATGATGAATGTCACTCACCACTTGTTAAAGATGATCCTTATCCTATTTTAAAGGCAAATTCTTCATTGAAACAGCCTTCTGTTCGAGCCAAGCAGTCATCTATTGAGGCAAATTCTTCATTGAAAAAGCCTATTGCCAGAGGTGATTCACCTTCTGAGCAGGATCACTATTTTGATGCGGTTTCGCCCGCTCTTGCTAGTCCCGATGAAGTTTCATCTTCTTCTGCTAGTGTTCATGAGGTTTCATCTCCTCCTTGTTCTGAGGTTTCATCCTCTATTTCTGATAGTGATTCTTTGAAAAATGATCCTCATTCTAAACACATGTTAATTTATGAACAAGAGCATGATCCATCACTCATTGATCTTCATAAAAGATGTCTTACTATTGATGAAGCTGACAAGGTCCCTGTTTGTTTCTACAAAAAGGATGGCATATTAATGCGAAAGTGGAGACCTCCTGAAGCTTCCCCTGAAGACGATTGGGCAATTGTGCATCAAATTATTGTCCCAAAATCATATCATAAGGAAATCTTGAGTCTAGCTCATGATTCGCCTATGGCAGGTCATTTAGGAGTAACTAAAACATATCATAAAATACTCAATCATTTCTATTGGCCCAAATTAAAACAAGATGTCCAAGAGTATTGTAGGTCTTGTCATACATGTCAAATGGTAGGGAAACCTAACCAGAAAACCTCAATTGCTCCTTTACAACTTATACCTGCATTTGATGAACCATTCAGTAAGGTTCTTATTGATTGTGTTGGTCCATTACCAAAACCAAAATCTGATAATCAATATCTGCTCACTATTCTGTCTATGGCCACACAGTTTCCAGAAATAAAATCACTCCTTATGCTTAGGAATAGCAAAACCAAGTATATTGTGAAATCACAAATCAACAATTTCACATTAGTTGAGCTACCAAAGGAGCTTATATCTGACTTACAATCTGACTCAGTGCTGAATGATTTCATTGGCATTGATAAAACTACCCCTGTGAGGTGTAGAGAGCTACACATGATGAAAAGGTATGTTGAGCGTGATAAAATGTCTTTACTCAACATGAGCTTGTGCTCTTAGCTCATAGGCCAAACTTGTATGTAAATGACAACTATATGTTATTCAAGATTCAGATATTGTAAATTATAATGATTAACTCATGAAGATTATATTATATTGTAGGCAAATTAGAGATTTGTGATAACTGTCACTTTATTTTAACAATATATAAAACATTTGCCTAAATAGTGAAATTGATATTATATGAACTATAAGATTGTATTAAGGTTATGTGAGCATCATAGGTAATCATTAAATAGTGTCACAAGATTACTTGATAACATCAGAGTGTACTATTAGAAATACTTACATAAGATCATGTGATAATTTAAAACATTGTACTAGTTTAGTGTTTGTCAGACTCAAAAATGTATGCTATTGTACATGTTATATGATCTATTGCGTGTATTGTATTTATGACTTAATGCATAACTTATGTAGATATTATTGTAGTATGGGATTATAAGAACATTATATGTTATTAGATTGTACTCACACTGTAACGATAGAAAGTATTAAATACTTGTAAACATACTGCACATAAAAAGACTATTGTAAACAAATATTATGTAAGTCTCAACCTCACTTTTAGAAATTGTAAAACGCTCACTGCTCAAGAAATTATTGTAAAAGTTTTTTATTGCAATCAAAACTTTTCTTTTAAGGAGGGAGGTGTTACAGTAGTGAGCTACATGTTTATTATATTCTACTATATTCACCTATAGTTTAATTTGTAATGTATGTTTGCTGTATATGTTGAGCTATTCTTTATTAGAGATCTTAGGTCAAGGTCACAATGACATTATACACTGTATCTTGTAAACAGAACTGAACTGAATGACTCATTAACCCTTGACCATCCAGATAGTTCTAGAAATTATAACCATTCATTAAAATTTAATCATGTCACTAAAGATGTCCAATCAAGATGTAGTTCCAGAAGATTCGTTTCTGGATCATTCTTTCACATTATAAAAAGAACAGCACAGTGACTCTCATTAGCAGATAATTAAGTAATCATAACTGGACATCTCAAAGGAACTAAATAAAGCAGAATTTCAAAGTTGATCAAAGGACATCTTCTTATATTAGCGGAATATTACAGACACCTACTGTGGGAACATTTATAACACTACAAACACACAACCTGAGGACTTTATATGGACATATATTACAACACACACTATATACGGATTATCATATACATTCGTGGATTATCATAAACATTTGTGGATTATCATCAAACATTATTGGATACGAACATTATAGGATTACAACAAACATTATTGGATTATTACAAACATTGGAGAACTATTAACGATTATTGAAACATTTCGTGATCTGGATCATTCTCAAGGATCGTCAACGACATTTATCGACATCAAGAATAAGCCGTACCATTGATTGGACATCACTTAAGTATTAAACCTCCTTTATATTATTGTTATATTATTTAGTTTTCAAAGTATAAATATATTGTTATCATATTTTAATTGCTGTTTTTACTTTCTGTTATTTTCGTACATGTACGTAACAACTGTGATGTCATCCATGAAAGCTCTGCATGGTGGGTGTTTTGTGCCATCATTTGCTTTTGGACCCTTACACTGCATCGTACCTGCCTTGAGCAGTAGGTTCATTGCTGTAATGAAGAGGACTACTGATACAGTGCCTCCGGCCATTATGCCTTTTTCCAGCCTTTGCCAGTTGGTGGTGAACTTGCCAACTGTGAAGCGCATCATCAAAGAGTTCATGTGACCCATTGTCAGGTTGATTACATCATTTGGTACATGGTAGTGAGCTAAAGCCTCCAATATCAGTTGGTGAGGGACACTTGGGTAGGCCTTAGGGAGGTCCAACCAAACTACTGACAGGGCCTTGTTCCCCTTCTTGGCTTCCTTCACTAGTTGACTTATAGCAGCCGTGTGTTCGAGGCAGCCTGAGTGTCCTGAGATGCCACCTTTCTGGATGCTTGGGTCGATAAACTGGTTGACCAGTAGAAAAGAGGTAAGTCGCTTGGCCACAATAGCCCAGAAGATCTTCCCTTCCACGTCCAGTAATGAAATCTCCCTGAACTGGTTCAGCCCTTCAGACTTCAACTCTTTAGGAACAAAGCAACCTTCAGCCAACGCCCAACTCCTTGGCAGGTCTTTCTTAATCAAGATGCTTCTTAGCAATCGCCATAGACGTTTGAGCAGTTTCGGGCAGTTCTTGTACACCCTATATGTCACACCTGTTGGGCCCGGTGCTGAAGCTGCTCTTGCCTTTTTGACAATAGCTCGTACCTCGTCAAGCTTGAAATCTGACTGGTCAAATGGTGCAGTTGGTATATCTGGTGGGATGTCAATCGGGAACTCGCCTAATGGCAGTTCTCTGTCTGGGTAACTGTGTGCTGCTGCAATACCTGCTTCCACTTCCTCCTGTGTGCTGGAAAGACGGCCACTCTTTGGCTTCCCTAGTAAATCTGAAGTGAACTTGTATGGGTTTTCAAAGAAGGCCTTCCTTGTTCTATGCTTCTCTCGTTGTCTTTTCCTGAGAGACTCTACCTTACGAAGATGAAGAAGTCTCTTGTGAAGAATCTGCTGGAGTTCTCTAATTCCATCTCCATTGATGAAGCAGGGACTAACTTGCACAACATCTTATTTGATCTTAATTTTATACAACTTATAGATGAACCAACAAGAGTGCAGTCTCGTAACAACTTTATTACTAAATCATGTATAGACTTGTCTTTTACAGATAACATTAATATAATTTCTAATCATAAAGTTCTACCACCAGTAGGAAATACTGATCATTGCACTTTGTTAACATACCTAAAAACGAACATTATTAAAGAAACTCCAACCAAGAAAATCATTTGGCAATATGATAAGCTTAATAAAACAATATTGAATCAAAGAATACTTAATTCAAACTGGGGAGAGATCTTAGAGCTTCAAAATGTTCATATTTCCACTTATAGCTTTGTTGATACTTTGTTCAACATTTTTAAGGAAACAATTCCGCATAAAGAGGTTTTAATAAAAGAAAATGATCAGCCTTGGTTTAATTCTGATATAAAGAAGCAAATTAATAAACGAGATAGACTTCACCATAAATTTAAACGGTCAAATGATTTAACCTTTCTTCAAAAATACAAAGAACAAAGCTTATGTGTTGTAAATATGATAAATGAAGCTAAGCGTAAACATATAGAATCAACATGTGGAACTTTATCAGATTTAAATAGAAACTCAACAGATTACTGGATACTTTTGAAGAAGCTACTTGGAAAGTTATTTAATGTGTCACTGCCTTATTTACATTTAGATAATCCTAAACTATCTGCGGGATCTTCTTCTGAGAAAGCTGAACTTTTTCTTAAATATTTTATTCAGAAGAACAACGTAGATCAAATACACGAACCATTACCAAATTTTCCATTAAGGTGTAATCTAAACTTGGAAGATATTTTTACTGATAAGAATGAGGTTTTAAAACTACTTCAACAACTTGATGCATCAAAGGGGGAGGGGACAGATAAAATAAATAATAGAATGCTAATTTTATCAGCTGAGACGATATGTGAACCATTGAGTTTGCTTTTTAACAAAATTTTTACATCTCATTGTTTCCCGAAGATTTGGAAAGAGGGTATTATTGTTCCATTACACAAGAAAGGAGATAGATCTAAAGTTGTCAATTATAGACCAGTCACATTGTTAAATGCCTTATCTAAAGTTCTGGAAAAGATTATTTATGATAGAATTTTCAATCACATGATCCAAAATAACCTCTTTTACAGTTTTCAGTCAGGATTTCTTCCTAAGCATAATACCACTTCCCAACTTTCATATATAATTCATTGCATTCAAGAAGAATTGAATAATGGAAACAATGTAAGAACTATCTTTCTTGATTTAGCGTCAGCTTTTGACGTCGTTCCGCATCAATTACTAATACAAAAGATGAGATCTTATGGCATCAACAATAATCTCTTACTTTTAATGAATTCAAATCTGTCACAAAGAAAAGTAAAGGTTAATGTAAATAATTCTTTCTCGAAATGGTCAGAACCTGATTTTATCAATGCTGGTGTGCCACAAGGCAGTGTATTAGGGCCGCTTATGTTTTTAATGTATATAAATGATCTACCTGATAATCTAAATGGTAAGACTTTCATTTATGCAGATGATACATCAATCTTCCTTCCTTACTCTAAGAAAAGCCCTTTACTCTCTCAAAATCTGCAAATTGACCTAAATACAATTAAAACCTGGGCTGATACCTGGCAAATGAAATTTAAGGCATCGAAAAGTGCTGACCTGACTTTTACATCACCTTTAACAAACCCTGTTAATGAACCTATACTCTATTTGGGAGGTGACCCCATTCCTAAAACCATTAGTCATAAACACCTTGGTGTTATTTTAGATCAAAAGCTTAATTTCAAGGAACATGTTAATGAGCTCACCAAGGAATTACAGACAATCTTAAATCCATTTAAACAATTAACTCACATTCTTCGTTCGAATCATTTGGAAACCATATATAATTCTTTTATTCTAAGTAAAATTGATTATGCTGATATAATTTACAATAGTGCTCCAAATATAGCTACCAGCAAACTTGAAAGACTGCATTATAATGCAGCTTGTCTAATTTCCGGTGCTCTGCATGGTTCAAGCACCTATAAGGTCTTGAAGACATTAAATTGGATTACTTTGTCTGAGAGAAGAAGAAGCCATCTTTGCTCATTTCTATTTAAAAGTAGAATCAATTTATCAGCTTCATATGTCACTGAATTATTTAATAAATACTTACATGAACCAAATAGAATTCTAAGGGCTGTCAGAGAGTATATGGTGCCTCTAAATATCAGCATTTCATTTAGAAAAACTACATATTTTGCTGCGATTGAAGAATGGAATGGTCTGCCTAATGATTTAAGAAATTGCAATAGAATATCAACTTTTAAAGGCAAACTTAGAAAGCATTTCGGGAATGAAAAATGTATAAATATAACAGCATCACTTGATATCACTAGAAAAACTGAAATTATATTTAACAGGTTAAAAGTGGACCTATTTCTAAAAAGTCAATTATTTGCTCATCACTTTACAAACATTGACTCACCAGCCGAGGGTAGCCGAGGGTAGATATATTATATTGGCCAAGGGATAATCCAAATATCCTGAACCGACTATAGGATGATCTGTTTATCCCATACCAATCACATTGTTCAATTTGCCAAAGTTCAGAAACTTTGCAACCAACCGTGGAATATTCTTAAAATATTCATGTCCAGTTTTGTATTCCTGTTTCTTTCCTATTCAAATCTTTGATTATTAACGCCGGTACACTGCTCCTTCCCTTCTTTAAAGCATCAAACAGGTCGAGATTGTCTGCGTTTTTCTCCATTGTCGTTTACAGTATGCGAACGTTACAAAAAAGAACCAATACGGGAACAGCGATTATGACGTAGCGGGCAGATATAGCGGGCAGATATAGTATATCTGCCCGCTCGGAGCGGGACGTAAAGCTATATCTGCCCGCTGATGAAAATATAAGTTTTTACAAACCGGCTTTATGTACCCGTAACACGTCCAAGTATGGGATAAAATGGTTTATGTGATTCACTTCTTATTTCTTCTTTATTTTACTCCTTTGACCCAGATCCAGACCAGATATTTTTCTTTGTAGAGATATCAGTTTAAAGCTTAAAAGTTGTACATATGGTTTATAACATTTTTATTTGGGTATATCCAATATGAGATAATTCAGTGATATCTGACTCATATGTTCAGTATCATATGAGCATCGTCATACCTTCACAATGGCATATACACTGGCATATGTGTCCATTGTTCAATGAATTAAATATTCACTGCACATAATATTAACAAACTCTGTATTTAATCATATTAATCGCATTGATACTTTAATTTTATTTTAGTTGCTTTATATCCTGCAACCTCGTACTTATCCGAGTACCAGACTGTATACCCAGCTGCAAGGGGATTCAACTACTCTCTGGCATCCGCAGGATATCCCTCCACGAGCTTCCTGGTGTAAGTACATGTTATACAGATGCAGATCTATGGGACTCACGCCAAAAGACAACATGTTTAAAATGGGTGGGGCATTTAGAATTTTCATACACAGGGTGTCTAAAATGTACCCCAAAATATATCAACAGCATAGACAAACCAAACAATAATTTCAAACATTTTTTGTATGGTCATGTAGCCAAAGCATGTGAGTTTTCTCCCCAATACACATTTTTTGGTCTAGTCTTGCCTTTTTGATGCTATAACCCTTTTTACATGACATGAGCAATATAATTCCACGACAGTCTGTATCCTAACTGCTATAGCTACATTATAATTCATCACATTTGATAATGTTTCCGGTGGAATGGATGAGATTTACATGTATATTCGGATATTGGTCTGAAGTCTTCGTCTATACTGGTGAATAGGGAGGTCCTCGCAATATCTTTATACAGAGAGGTCAGAGGTTTAGGAGATTTATGAAACTGCGTTCATAAGAATTCTCAAGTGACTTTGTTGAGTATGGAGGGCTCAATATTTTTGAGATCACTGTGTCTCATTAGGCCCAGTGAGACACAGTGCCTAATCGTTCGATCTCCTAGCTAGCCAACGTAATCCATTTATCAAGGTAGAACTCTTGAATCATTCGATGATAATGGACCCCTCTGTGATATCTAAATTCTGACTACATGCATACATGTATCTATGCTTCGCTGAAATTCGTACGCATGCGCGCACAGTATTAGTAAGAATCAGATTTTCAAGATGTCTTTATTATTAAATCATATTTACTTAGTAAATGATAAAAGAATGTCCGAAAACATTGATTGGTTTATTTGCTCTGTTGATATACTTTTGGGTACATTTTTGGACACCCTGTAAATTAAATACTGTTCTTATGTAAATGCAAAATATATACACTCCCTTTAATTCATCTTATGTAAATGCAAAATATATACACTCCCTTTAATTCATCTTATGTAAATGCAAAATATATACACTCCCTTTAATTCATCTGTCTATTTGTAGCAGTGAACAGAGTTGGTTAATCGAAGCACCCCAAAGTTCTGACGTCATTCGCGCATTTTTGATGGAAGTTGGCCCGGGATATGACCCTAACTGTACTTTGGGCAAAATCAACATATATGATGGTAAGGAGTGCAGGGCATTGAATTGCAATATAATCGAGCTGTTGTGCTATATGGATATTATATTGTCATGAAAATATAGATCGAACAACAAAATGTTGTTACCATATAATCGAGAATAGGATCTTGATTTTACACTTTGGCTGTTTCAATTAAAGTTGACTATGCGTCTTGATTTTGAAGACTGACTAAAATGTTCATCTATCAATTTTTTCTGGGGTATGATACACTTGTGTTTGGGGAAAATCACATATTCACCACGGCATCAATTTTAGTGGCTATCTTGGATGTCCAAATTTAGGAATTATTTGTAGTTTTAGTCATAATTGAAATCCCCGAATCTTAAAATCTTGGCATGACCTCAAAACTCTTTGTTATCAATTGTTCTTTGAGCTTAAATCAAGAGTTACATATTTGTTTTGGCACTAGCTTTGGCAGCCATATTAGATTTCTATAAAAAGAAATAATTTAATAACTCAGATTTTTCAAAATGTTTTCAGATTTTTCAGATTTAAACATGTATGAAAACCTTAACCCCTAAAACCCTGACAATGTCACCAAAACCACTGTTCTTTGAGCTTAAATCAAAATTTAGGTTTCCATTTTGGCAGCCATCTTGGATTTTTAAATAAAGTAATTGTTTGATGACTTAGATTTATAACATAAACGAAATTCCTGACCCCTAAGACTTAGGCATGGTCTCCAAAATGACTGTTGTTAACGGTTAACTGTTCTTTTTGCTTAAATTAATGGTTACACATTCGTTTCGGCAACCATTTTGGCAGACATCTTTGATTTTTATATAAAGTAATTATTTGATAACTTGGATATAGGCATAGGTGAAATTGTTGACCCCCAAAACGTAGACATAGGCTCCAAATTCACTGTTCTTATAAGTGTTTTTTAGCTTAAATAAATACCAACATATTCATTTTGGCACCCATTTGGTGGCAATCTTGAATATCTATAAAAGCAATTTATTTGATGACTCAGATTAAGACATTGATCACATCCCTGACCCTTGATATGTAGACATGGGCTCCAAAGTCACTGTTCTTTAGTGTTTTTTGAGCTTAAATCAAGAGTAAGATATTCGTTTTGGCACCCATTTTGGCGGCCATCTTGGATTTCTATTAAAAGTAATTGTTTGCTGACTTAGACATAAATGAAATCATTGACTCTTAAAATTCATAAATAGGTCCTAAAATCACAGTTTTTGCATCTCAATGTGCTTAGATATACCCACTCTTATATTGTAACATGTGCACCGGCGGCCATTTTGAAAAATGGGTGATAACACCCAACTGTTGCAATGCTACCTTACCCAAAATCACTATGGTGATTATTCCCCTGGTTAGATACCGACCACCCCCCAAGCTGATGGCCTAATAGGTGAAATAATCCTTCATATCCATACACCCCGAACTTGAATCCACCTGATTTTTTGTAGGGCTATTTGAAAGACAATGTATACCAAGACAATCCTCAGACAATTGCTGACCTAAAGAAGGCAATCACTGCTAAATATAATAGTCGATGTGTCATTTTCTGAACCTTTGAATCTGTAAAAACACGATGCTTTATTTTGGAATCACCATCATAAGGGTTTTATGAAGTGATTAAGCTGGGTTGGACAAAGGGAAACCTTGGGAAAAAATATATATGCAAATTAAGGTGTCCATTATATAAAAGCGATTTTTTGAAAGCCTTTGACTCAATTGACCATACATACTATTTTGCTTATTAATAAAAATAGTGGTAACATGGTATAAAAGCTAAGAACAATCTTCATCATTCACTCGTCGTGTGATTCTGGGATCTGTTTCACGTTATATTACTTTTCTATACATTAAACACCTACATAAATCAATTAAGTAATTATTGATTTATTTGTCACTCTTGGTGATGACACACATCTTATTTCATCATACAAAACGTTTCATATCTCTAAATATGCTAAACATGCATACCGTATAATATGTACACTATCTGATAAGTTATTTTTGTTTATTTTAACATTATGTTATTCATTGGCGCTGAAAACATGTGTCTCCAGGTCCCAGGGCTATCATTTTCCTGTCTAAGATATATTAAAAATTCAACTAGACAACAGCAACGCCAAAGCGTAGCAAAACCCATCGAACAGCCATGGCTGGCATTTTTACAAACAAAGTAAATAGCAAAATTCGTAGCCATTTTTTAAATGGCAACCTTCTACCAAAAGTGTCATTAGACGGTGTGCCACATACCAAATATGAACAAAATCGCTCCACTACTTTTCGAGTTACAGTAAAATACGTTAAAATGGCGGCCATTTTTCAAAATTGCCGCCTTCTACCAAAAGTGTCATTAGACAGTGTGCCATGCTTATAGTATTCACATACCAAATATGAACAAAATTGTTCCACTTCTACCAAAAGTGTCATTAGACAGTGTGTTAGATTAGACAGTAATTTTCATTGTATTACAAGCTTGATATAGGAAATATCTGAAAAAATGTGATATCTAAATCATAATATATGCTAAGTTGCAACTATGCACTCTATCTAATAAGTTATTCTTGTATAACAATCTTATTCATTAACCCTGAAAACACAAGTTTAGACAAACTAATTTTAACATTTCAAGATATTGATAACAATCAATATTTCAATAATGGCCTTGCTAATTAGCCTATATTATTTTTTTGAAACTAACTTTTTGTCCAACCCAGCTTATTCTCTCCAGGAAACCCTTATCGTCATAAATTAACCCAAAAACATCGTCTTTTAACAATGCATAGGTTTACTATAGGATGCATAGGAGTGACAAATGGACTATAATGTTATTATAAGGGTTGAATGGGTTAAGGGTAATTGACAATTTTGCCATATGAATCCAGCTCATCCTTGCTGCAAGGGTATTTTAAAAGTATATATAAGCATAAATAAATAAATATTTAAGCATAAATGAAGTCATTTGAAGAAGGATGATCCAGCTCTACCTTATGCTCAATTGCGACCATTTCGAGTACGTGATGTAAATAATCACAGTTTCTGAATCTTTTGACTGGATATATTGAATCTTTCAGGAACAAATGTACGTAGAACTGTTCTAGTGTGTGCAAAAGTTCAACTTCAGTAATGTCACTAAGAAATATTGCCTACTTTAATGGTTTCTTTTTTTCTGGTCACCTTGTACATATAGATATGTGAGAATTTAAAAATTTAAAATGCATGTCAAAATATCTAAAATCACTGGGAAAGCCAGATATTTCAATCTGAAAGAAGCTGTTTTTTGGCTCACACAGTGAGCCTATGGGGTCGACCAGGCGTCCGTCCGTTGGTCCGTCCGTCCGTCAACATTGGCCACACAAATTAAAACTGCTATTCGGATTGAGTCATATCCACATTCATTTTATGCATAGCCATAATGCCTATTTGACATATCATCGCCATTTCCCAAGTTCGCCCGGTTTCCGAGAAATTGCGGATTTTGACGTCAAAAAGTCAAATTTTCTGTAAATACTAGACACTTTGTTGAAGTAGAACTTTCAAATAACCTTTAGTAGTTGCTTTATATGCAACTTATGTCCTCTGAAGATTTCAAAGCTCTTGGAATTACAGTTTTTGGTGTTTACTCTATAAAATTTGACAAAAAGTAGGACTTTGTCATTTTCAGGAAACCTTCTCATGTATAAAGTCAATGGCAGGTTTTGTGATTGACAAGTTTCTCAAAGTTTACCTTATACTTGATCATTTCTTGCAATGATAGATTGGAATACCCTTTCAAAGCCCCTCATAGAAGCTGAAAATTTAAGTATATTTAAGTCAAGGGCAAAGAAAGAGTTATCTAATTCAATTATTCGATCCTCTGAACTTAATATTTCAAGAAATCAAGAAATAATACTTAACAAGGTTCGTTGTGACTTAATTTTTAAGTCCCATCTATACTCTCATAATTTTACAAACGTTACTTCACCTGCATGTTCTTGTGGCCATGCAAATGAAACAACAATTCATGTCATTTTTTCCTGTATTCTCCGTGCTCCATTCTTAGAAGAGTTGGAAAACAATTTAGCTTTTCTTAATTTTGGTTATTCTCAATTCAAACACAAGAGGGACAAAGTAGAATTATTTCTTTATGGGGATTCAAACTTAACTAAATCCACTAATTTGAAAATTCTCAAGCTCACTGCATCATTTTTAGAAAAATGTGCAAATGTGTAGGTTTCCCTGCCACCACTCACTTCACTCTTGAGTCCATATTTAAATTTTTCTTTTTCTTCACCCTGCAATTATAAATCAAGTGGCTGATAATGCCTTCAGCAAAGCCACTACAAGTGTATAATGTTTATGTACTTTATGTATTTGTAAAATAAATTCTATGAATAAAAAAAAAAAAAAATTCTTGCAATGAATTACATCATTACTAGATTTAAGCATTCCCTACATAATGCTCAATATATGTCAGCATCAAATTTTTACAGTTTTTGAGATTTTGACGTCAAAAAACAGTAAAAATAAGTTATTTTTCAACTTGCTTCAATTTGACCAATTTTTTTTGAAAATCATCTACAAGTTGCCAGGAGCTCAAATCTGACATTAGTTTTAGGATTTGACCTTTACTTGACCTTCAGTGGCCTTCGATTTTGATTTTTCAAATTGATTTTGGATGTAAATTTTGGTCAGCTTAATCACAAAAGACCTTACTGAGCTATGAATAAGTAAAATTTTCAAGGTCAAAGGTCATCAAACTAGGTCACACAACTGTGCTATCAAAGTTTAATGCTCAAAGTTCGAGACTACAAATCCAAATCAATATTTTTGTTTTAAAGTCAGGATATACATTCCTCTGAAGGTTCCAAACTGTGTGAGCACAGGACCGTGGGTCCTATTTTCCAAGCAGAAATGCTTTTGTGTAATTTTCAATCGATATCGCCTCTCATGATGTTTATCCCATCCTTCAATGCATGTTGGATGTTGTGCAGTTTTGTTCATAAGTCTATTTACAGTAACATGACTCTAACCCTTCCCTTATTTTTTATGATTGATCTTCCACCCAAACCTTTCCCCTTGAAATCGTTTTTAATAGGAGCCTCATCGCTTTTCACTTACGGCATCCCCTAAAACGAAACTTTGGACGGAATATATTTTGGAATAGAAAACAATGAAACAAATCAATAAACCTGACACACAGACAAGCCGTTTTTGAGACTAATTCGATTGACAGATTCATTCACCTAATAGCAGGCACAAATGCTACGAAGGTCTTATTACACAGCTCTGATAATGGATTTTTTGACATGCATTTTTTGAATTTGTCGATTTAATTCTCACATAATAAGTGATAGCTCTCTTCCATATTTTTACACCTTGCTCATGATACCCTATGGCCATTTTATAGAAATTTTCAAGAAATTCGAGTGATACATTGCTGAGAAAACAGGGTCAAGCGAACAATACGTTTTCAACGATTATCATCACATCACGCGAGTTTGATTTAACTATCTTTAAAATTTCAGGAAAGACTGACATTGACAGTGAAAGGTTAGCAACTTGGTGCCAGACTTCAGGTTTGCGTATGAACACTACTTCTAAGGATGACTTTATGCTAATCAAGTTTACTCGTGCTGCGTCCCAAAATGGACTTACATTCGTTATATATTACTACGCGATCTCAGGTGAGTTCAAATGGACAACGTTACACGTTTGTAGAATTTTGCCAGATAAAAATAGTAGTCATCTTGAAAGAAAGAGAATGCTGTTTATAGGCGTAACTAGCTTTCAGTCAGGGGAGGGGGGGGGATGCGATTGCTCAAATTCTTTCCGGTTTTCAATCGGGGGGGGGGGGGGGTGCGATCGTGGCATAAAATGGTGTATACGCTTCAAATAAAAAGTATTTGAAAGTATTTTCTTCTTCCATCCAATACTTATATTTCTATTGGTTATGGTTATTATCCATCGCACACGCCCCCCTAGCTACGCCTATACTGTTAAACCTTTACCAAAAAGGCATGGCATAGATAATGTCGAAACGTACTCTCAATTCGACTATTTTCCTTCTCGTACAGGAGATTAACTTTCAAATGCTAACAATGTTTGATCAGGTTGATCACTTTTCTGGTTTTTGGTTGTAATCACAATTAGGGCCACATTTGCAAGTATGTTGAAGAAATTGCAATTATTTCAAACATTTCGCCATTATATTTTCAATATATACATTATTTATTTAAACATTATTTGCAGCTGAAGATTTAGCAAAAGAAAAAACTGACGATGATGATGGACTGGTTGTAGCCTTCTGGATTTCAACTGGAAGCTTTTTAGTGTATGCTGCTATCGGATTGGTATTCCTCATAGGAGCTGTCTTTATTTGTGTAAAGTACAAAGATAAACTATGGCCTAAGACAAAATCAGTGATTTCTCATCACACATCAACAACGATGCCGGCCAATACACAGCAAAACGGAATGGAAGTTGCGATATCGACAGAGAACCCCGCGGACACGGCAAAGACGGCGACGGCGACAGCAACTAACTCTAGACCCCAACAAAAAGCGCCCAAAAAGAAACGTTATACCAGTACGATGCCGGTTAAAAAGTCAATCTTACATGGGCCTGTTAAAAAGTCAATCTTACATGGGCCTGTTAAAAAGTCAATCTTACATGGCCCTGTTAAAAAATCAGTCATGGGTCCGACTAAGAAATCTATTTTTGATCCACATCAACCCCGTGCGGTGGAAAATGTCCAGGAGCCTGATGAAGAGCCACATTCACCACAACCAAAGCCAGGACCAGTTACTCCACCAACTACTAACCAGCAACTCCAGAGCGTCAGTACCATCACGCATACATTTTACCCAACACAGGCTCCTTTTCCGGGACCACCTCCCGGATACAACGGCGCTCCTCCTGGATATAACGTCCCACCACCTCCCCCTGGTTTTAATGTCCCGCCACCTGGAATAAACGGCACACCCCCTCCAAGCTATGCGTCACATCAAATGCAGGGCGTTATCCTTAATGCCCCTTCTGCAGGATATAATGGCATGCCTTACTCGGGACACGGCGTACTGCCTCCAGGTTATGGCGCTGCTCCTACAGTTGTACCGCCCCAAAATATGATGCCTCTGCCCGGTTACGGTAACCCACAAGCTCCGCTCGCACCCACGGCACCAGAACCACTACCGGCTATTGAAATACCAGAATCTAAACCAGAAACCCGTACACCAAAGGATTCACAATCTACGGAACCAAATAATCCCGAGCCAGCTAACAATGCAACTGTCACGGCACTGACGATTATTGATGATGGTGTTGATACTAATACGCAGTATAAGGTTGCCCCACCACCTTCGAATTACACTGTTGAAACAGCCGCCTCTATTTCACCACCCCAACCAGTTACAGCTGAATCAGTAGCTGCAACAACCACATCTGAAGCTGCACCAAACCTACAGCCAAATGCTGAGTAGTAAACCGCCAGACAATTGGGTATTGACAATACAGTTTTTGTAGATCTCAAAGTGGGTTATGTTTTACTAATAATGAAAATTAACAACCATTGGAAGATAAATGGGATTCGCCAATCAGGTCCGTTCTGCTCCAGTGCCCCCCAATCCCACCCACTGACTGATATAAACTTAGTTTCCGTGCCTAATACTGCAACCAACACAATATTTAACCTTATCAAAGTAACAAACATATACGAAATGGTTCTACTTTTATTTAATATACGAATGAAATATAACAAATCGAATAATGGTGTATATACATACTATGGACAGTTGTAAGCACAAGTACATATGTACTCAAAGTAACAAGAGAATTAGTTTCAAGACATGTCTACGTCCACTGCCCGAAATACAACCCCCCCCCCCAAAGACAGCATTTAGGCATTTTACTACAAATCTGATGATTTTTCAAATCGCTAAACAGAAGGGGACTTCCAGTTACTTATTGAAGGGGTTGTCTTTATGCATGTTTCGAAACGTCAATAGATGTTCGTCTCGACGTTATAGGTTGTCGAGGCGTGAGTGTCCTGGGCTTATATTGATTCCCAATGGATCTCTTAATAGGAAAGGAATTGTATATATATTTTTTATATGGAATGTGTTGTTTAGAACGTTATCTTTATTTTTGTACTAAGTATATTTAGTACGTGTGCCAATCGATCTATTCTTTTCTTCATCCCAGATGAATTACTTATAAAAATCATATTCAATAAGATATTGTGTATACAATTTGAATAAAGTTTGATTGTCATAATCAAAATAGTATTGTAATCTTTTCTATATAGGAATATCGCTCCCATCAAGCCTTTCCTCGCTAGTGGTATTTTACACATCTGCTGATACAATGTTAACGTTTATATTATACCAAAAGAAATTATACAGGGTGGGCAATAAAAATTGGATACTTTGTATCATTCTTGGAAGTAATTATGATCACACAGATAAACCATGTGTTTTATACAAAACGATGGAGAATTCATTTAGCTCTAATAAGATGAAATATTATGTGACTTTTCTTGAATGCTGTAGAAATTGTGACACTTTTTGATTGAGATATCACAATTCCCCAAAACAGATCTTAAAATCTAAAAATGAAGAAATTCTTGAAAACGATGTCTAATATGTCTTCCTCTGTCTGTGCCAATAGCTCCCAATCTCAAAAAGTCATTACTGTACATTATGCATGCCTTCAAGTAACTTTTGATACCATTCATGAGTCATTCTAACCTCATTTTGTTTCGATATCCATGTCCAGTGCGTAATGAACCTACCTGTACCATCATAAGATGGTTCCACTTATAGAAACCTTGATTTTCAGATGCTTTTGGAACAATTTATACAATGCACCCATCTAGCGTTAGTTTTTGTAATAAAAAGTCACAGTATTTTATTGTTAACATAAAGGAGATTGTCTAGGCTAACAAATAACAATGATGTTTTGGCATTCCATTGTTTGATTTAAAAGTTTACATACATGAACATAAATGTTCAGAATTTATACTCCCTAATTTTCATGACATTTGGTTGATTTCCGCTCTTGTAAATAGAATTTTGTGAGTGACCCATTTTTATTTGCCCACTCTGTACTCACAGGCGTTTGTTTATTCTTTTGTCTTTTCTTCGTAGTCTCGGTTTTATATTAGGAGGTCAAGCTACAAGTCCTAAGAGAATTAGTACGCGAACGTGTTTCAATGTATTATGTGAGGAAAATAGATGTAATTAGGTCCCAACAATTGAGAGGGTTACAATAAACCATAAGGCTATAATATTACACGTTCGACTCCAGGTTTTCCTAAAGACGTGCAGCTTAAAATCGAAATAGTATAGTGTAAAATCTAAATGGCAGCACACAGTTATGCAGATTTTACAGGGTTAATGAGAGAAATCGTGCAGATGCGGCTAGTGTTACAACTCGGTTGTTAAATGTTTAGGAATTTACCATGTCAATTTTGTTGGAATCGAATCATCTGCATTCTTGTGTGTTCATCTTAACAATCACCACGCCTCTCTCATTCCCTTTATTGGGATGGGTTTACCATCATGTTGACCAACTGTGGGGCCATATTTCCCTTTAGCGATTGGCTTTTCGAAGAAGGTATCGCTTAGCTGGTACATTTTATTTTTATCAAAGTCCTCCAGAGGTATGAACCTCACTGGTTTCTCTTTAATCAGACCTTTAAGTCTCGTTTGCCAGGCCTCGATGATGGCATCGCGATCCTTTTCTTCGCAGTGTGCTGGGGCATACACGATCTGCGGAGCAAGGATGTCAAATCCACAAAATCTTAGATTGTTCTGGAATAAATTTATAAAAACTGTTTAATTTTTCTAACATAGCGTAGTCCTTGCGTACTTTCCTTCCTCATGAAAAATACTGTTTGCACACTCATATTTCAGAATAATCATTAGAAAATCATAGTTTAGTAATAGTATTGTTAAGTATTTTAACATGAACATTTCCTGCAATCTAAAATGAACTTGATTCCTTTTTAACATGTAAATACAATCATGTGTAGTAGTATTTATTGAATAACCCTCGTACCTGCATAGGCCATAGTAATATGTCCATATCTCCCAATAGACCAGTGTTGGTGTAAAACTCAGCCGGACATCCCGTTGTGAACGACAGAAGAACTTTCTTACCCTGAATAATAAATAAATTAAAAATCAGAAAAAGAGCGATTGTACATTAATAAGAAGGGGACTCAGTATGAAGATGGGTACGTTTTAGAGAACTGCATGATGCGAAGTTGTTTACAACTGCAGGCCTATCCTGGGCCTCCTTATATATTTCTACTTTGAAATTATTCATTCAAAACTAAAGAGACAAATTGTGATTGCGTTCTGCTATTGTTTGGTTCGAAGAATTATCTAGTCAGCCCCCTCCCCGGCCTTTGTTTCGCAAATGAGTCAATATTAGACAGATAATTGTGTGGGGGGGGGGGGGGCAGGGCTACACAGGGCTCGATGCACGCTTACTGATTTCCCTTACATTTAAAGGTGACGCATCCATGAACTTTCCGTCTCCATATGCAAATCCGTAGCAAAGTACACGATCCAGCCATCCCTTCATAATGGCAGGGAACGACCCCCAGGCGATGGGGAACTGAAATATAATCAGGTTAGCCGCCCTCACTTTATCTTGTTCTGCCTTAATGTCATCACTCAGATTGTCGTTGGCGAATGCGATTCCAGCCTCAACAGGGTACTTGAAGTAGTCTTTATCTTTTGGATTGCCTAAAAAATACACACGTATCGATAGAATTGAACACTTATTGTTTTACAATCCAATCTAAAAATGTCGAAAACGTTGACCAATGTTAAAAAGCATCTCCAAGTATACTTGATCAGACTTTAAAAAAGCTTTTGGCCAAAACTACACACGTTTTAACATATATCTCTTATAGGGGGGGGGGGGGGGGGGGGGGGGGGTGGCAAACTTTTCGGAGAAGTATACATCATACATTTCTTTCGGTAACAGATCCCAAATGTCAATGTGGTGAAAAATTCCAAACCACTGAACACTTTTTAATCAAGTGTCCACTGCTAATTAATGCAGAACTATTAGACTCGAACAGTTTACGTGAGTTTGAACCTTACTCAATTCAAACAATGTTTTTCTCTTAAACCAATCATTGAAAACATTCTGTAAAAAACACAGTATTTTATGTAATGTTGACTGATTGACAACAATTTAATGCGAAAATTATTTAGAAATATTTTATATAACTGTTTTTGTTAACATTTTTTGTTTTTTTTTACTGCAATTGATTTGCTCCTTTCTACCAATTCTTGAGAATGAAATAAAATGTCTTTCCGAACCTTGTTGGAACAAAATAGCATATACAACATGTTTTTAGACCACTCAATATTATAGTTATACAAAGGAATTTTTGGTTTTTTAAAAAGTCTTCAAAAAATTAAAACAAAATCCCCCAAAAATAGGTAAAAATCAAGATAAACCTTTTATTTTATTAATTTCACTCTGGAAACACGATACCAAGAACAAAACAAGCGTTTGATGTGTTTTCTAAAACAATATAGATGAAAGTATATATATATATATTTCAAATTATATTGTTACCATTCAAAAGATGACCATTAAATTGACGATGTGTTAAATTTTTAGATTTTTTATGACTGGTTTAAGAGAAACGTGTGTTCAAAAAGTTCTCCATATCGATACCCCTCCTTTGGACATTGAAACAAATGAAAAGCTGATTGAAATCACTGCTCACTATACTTTTCAAGCTGTACAAAGTCTGGGACAGGATAATTTTTAACATTTGATTTTGATATCATCACTTGGGGAACAAGCAAACCAAAAAACAAAAAAGAAAAAATCTTCTCTGAACATTTTGTGTATTTCTAAATATCAATTCTTTATCTATCAACATTGTTTCAATTGCCGATAATGTTGTCCTGTCAACAATGGCAATTTGTATATATGCAACCGATTGATTTATTGAAATAAAGGTGAAGTATGTCTAAAAAAGTATACATTAACCGTTGGACATTGCTTTGTTCATATTTCCTCGTGTTCTCATATCACTTAGCATGGGTTTCAATCAACTCTTCATTTTGCATACCGATTCGAAGGAGAGTTAAGTTGAATCAAAATGCAAAATGTCTTGGCATCACATATTTTGTGGATTTAAGATCATAATCCAGTTTTTTATAAAAAAAGAAATACTAGAAGGTGTACACGACTAATTTATACCCGAATCACGCGATTCTATTACCGCATCAACAATTTAGAACTTAACATTGTTATGGTAATCTCAAAGTAAACACTTTAAAAGGTATTAGTTTTTGATGACGAGATTGGATATTTGAAAATGAAATACCATTTGCTTATAGACTTTATATTGTTATTCAAAGCATATTATAGCTCTAGCCTATGGTCTATGGAAATTAAAGCTTTGCTTGCATTACGATTCAACCCCATCTTTTTCAACAATGCCTTTCTGTCATTTGTCAAATGTTGATTCACGATTTTCTTTTACCATTTTAAGGAAATCTTATAAGCCATTTCTAACTACCAACATCACTTGTAAGGTAACACCACAAAGACTGAGATCTATTTATATCTATTCATTCGCTCAAAAATATATTTCTACTTTCTATATGCATTTTTTCCATTTTTCCACAATTATAGTAAGTCGAAAATTGATAATTGAATCGTCATTCTCATGTATACAAAAATGGAAATTTTGAATTTTAGGGCGAGTTGAACTTTTAACGTCTATAACTTTAAGGCCCATTGAACCCTGAAGACCAATGACATTTTGTTCTCCAGTGTGAGTTTGCAATGACTGAGATGATTAAATATTCTGTAATTTTATTTGCAGCCAAAATGTTAAGTAATGAAGACATATCATCTCGTAATTATCTTAAAAATGATTGAGATGTCAACTTGTGAAGATTTATCATTCACCTCGAGATTACTGGTGACCCAATAAAATACGGGTACTTCATTATTTTTAAAAGATGAGGGCAGACAACAAAGTCCGTAGTATTCATGTTCTTAAAATGCTGAACATCTATCTATATAGTTGGGATTCTCTATGAATTATGAAAGGTAAAGTTATAAAAATGTATCCTAGTATAGAAAGAGGTGGGGTGGTCCACACACCCAAACCTTCCCATTCCCATGTGTGGAAAAAATGATTTAATTTGATTATTATGCTACGGGAATGATTTACTATTTTTCTGGACAGAGGGTATGTACACTCCCCTTCATAAGTTAGACAACCGGAGGTGTTCACTGAATAACAAATCAAAGTCTTTTAATGTTTGAATCTAATTTTATTCCCTTATTACAATTTTATTATCGAGGATTTTTCAAATCGCCAAAGACAAACAGTTTTCAATGAGTTATCAAAAAGATACTTCCGGTTGTCAAATTTATGGGGGGGGGGGGTGTATATGTAAATCTGAAGAGGCCACACAAATATGTAAGACATACAGTATGTTTGAGTATTATGCTCATGTTAAAGTAGCTTGTATTGAATGAGGTTGCGTAGGGCGGTCTTATGTCTTGTTCGCTTATCATTTATGAGTGCAAGTAAATTATCATTTAAAAATTAATGATTTCGATATCTCACTGTCTTTAAATTATCAAAGCATGCAAATACAAATAAGAGTAGAAAATAGATAAAAGTAAGGTTTTCTAAGAGGCCAAAACTCCATGAGCAAAGGATAAATAGTGTAAAGTTTTGGAAGCATTTTGTCAATATTTTGCTCATTCGGATGTCCTTTAAATCCAATTAAAACATCTAAAATAATTGAAATATGCGAAAGAGAGAAATCTTGATTCGACCTAATAGATTAATGGAAAGGGGAAAGTCCCCATTTTGTAATCATTGCCAAATAATTCCAAGTCTTCGAATTGAAAGCAATATTTCCAAGAGTGTAAATCAAGAAAATGGAACTTTTTCAAAAAGACCACAAATTCGTATTCTACTTACTAGCAAACATAGCCTTTACAAGATATAGTTGATATGTTAAATAGATACAATGATGGTAGGACTACATTGAATTTTGTTACCATAGTTGCCTGGAGTCCAGATGCTAACGGTAACTCAATTTAGTATGAACGACTTTTTCAGACGAGAAAATAAATTCTTAAAACGGAATATTACATGAATCTTTCAAAACAATAATCCATATGTTTGCAAGTCTAGCTATGTAACAATTTCTATATTGCAAATACGTTTTCCAGATGTTTCTTGTAAGATTACATGCATGCACAGGCCCGTAAGACACTTTTCTCCAAGGGGGGTGCGGTTTTTAGCTTACTAAAGAGAACATAAAATTGTCAATTTTTTTGCCGCGTAAATCAAATCGCGTAAGACAGAGGGGGGGGGGGGGGGGGTCAGTTACTCCCTATATTGGTTTGGAATTAACAAATGCAACTTCCAAACCTTCCAATTGTTTTGTGGGGGGGGGGGGTGAGGAGTTGTCCACTCCCCCTAGAAAATTTTACAGTTTTGAGATGCTATTTGGTGCTTTCTGGGCACTTTCAAAGTGTAAGTTTCTAAGTTAGTAGTACGCCACCACCACGGGAATAAGAGCTGAGTGAATAAAAAACCGAGCATTCAGGGGGGTCTAGGGGTCCTCCCCCAGGAAAATTTTGAAATTTGCTTGTATTTGGAGCGAATTTGGAACCATCTGGTACGCCTGTGCGTTAGGAGTCAATAAGAAAATGTGAATTTTTTTCAAATTCTTTTGGTGGTGTCAAAGAGGATGAGAGGGTGAAGTTGGGTGGGGTGCCTGTAGGGGAGCAAGGGGTTGTCCCCCAGAAACATTGACCATATCAAGGTGCTATTTGATGATGTCTGGGCAATACATGAAATTCAGAATATTTATTTTGTTTTGTTGGGGATGTGAGGGGTAGCTAACTCTCCTAGAAAATTTTACAATTTAAAGATGATATTCTGGGCACTTTTAAATTCAAAGGTATTAGTCAATAAAAACATTGAAAAACAATCACAATTTTTTTCAAATTTTGGGGGTTTCAAAGAGGGGGGGAGGGGTGCCAGAGGGAGAGGTGGGGCTGGGGTGCCAGAGGGGGAGCAGGTGTTTGTCCCCCATATCAAAACTTACAATATCAAGGTGCTATTCCATTAGAAGTTTAGGCACTTTAAAAGTGTCTGTGCCTAAAAGCGCATATTTCTCAAGAAAATTTTACAATTTTAAGATGCTATTTGGTGCTTTCTGGGCACTTTCAAAATGTATGAGTCAATAAAAAAAATTTGAAAAAGAGGGCGAGTAAGTGTTAGTCTTCCAGAATCATTAACTTTATCAAGGAGCTATTTGATGATGTCTGGGCAATTTAAAAGTGTCTGAGACAATACATAAAACAAATTCAGAACTTTTCCATTGTTTTGTTTGGGGTGTGATTGTGAGGGGTGGCCAACTCCCCCTAGAAAATTTTACAATTTTACGACGCTATTTGGTGCTTTCTGGGCATTTTCAAATTGTATGAGTCAATTAAAGAATTTGAGAAAATCACAATTTTTTTTTGGGGGGGGGGTCAAGAGGGGGGGGCGCCAGAGGGGGGAGGTCAAGGGGGGGGGGGGCGCCAGAGGGGGAGGTTATGCAAGTGCAAGGTGCAAGAGGGGGAGCAAGTCCCCCAGAAAACTAACTATATCAAGGAGCTATTTGATGATGTCTGGGCACTTTAAAAGTGTCTGAGACAAAACACTAAAATAAATTTAGAACTTTTCCATTGTTTTGTGGGGGTGTGAGGGGTGGCCTGGCCAATACCCCTAGAAAATTTTACAATTTTAAGATGCTATTTGGTGCTTTTTGGGTACTTTCAAAGTTTATGAGTCAATGAAAAAAAATTACAAAAAAATATTTTTTCAAAAAAAATATTTTTTTCAAATTTTTTTTGGGGGGTAACAAAGGGGGGTGCGGTCGCACCCATCGCACCCCCCCCATCTGACGGCCCTGATGCACATGATTACATGCACGACTTACTGGGTATATGTATATGTACAATAGATTTACTGTATATTTGCGGTTTGTGAAATGCTAAAATCTCAAGAGTAACTAGACATGTAAATTGAACAAGTTCAATTTAAGACTCCAGATTTCAAACTTTTTTTAAGCTGAGTCATCCAAATACTTGTAAGCTGAGTCATTCAGAAAAAGCTGAGTCAGCTAGAATTTAGACAACTCTTAAGAATGTTATCTTCGACTACATTGGCTTAACATGGGGATATCATCATATCGACTTTTGAGACTTCAAACAGCTATAACTATCTAATCAGAAGTTGGATCGAAATTTGGTTTAAAGATTCTGATTCCTGAGAAAATTCTACCCTTAATTCATAACTCATACATTAAATTTGGAGAACTTTTTATTTTGACCTACTTTTCAGACACCATATCTCAAAAGTGGGTCAAAATACTTTCTGACGGCAGAAGGCTAACACTATTAGCACACTCTTTGCTACCTGTATACAAAATTTCGAAGCAAATCATTAAAGTGTAATGTCAGAATCTCAAAAATAAGGAAAAACTATGAATTTGACCTAGATTTTGACCTAGGCATTTTGGTGTCCAAATTTTAAAGCTAGATAGCCTTCGAGGTCCCCTTCTTTTATAGGCTTTCAGAATGTTAAGCTGTACTCATTTTATATCTGGTATTTTACACTTCAAAAAAATCTTTTTTCTTATTGACATAACATGGGGCACCAAATTTAGCGATTTTTGAGCTTTCAAAACGCCATAACTTCCGAAACGAAAGTCGGATTGGAATTTCGTTTGCAGATTCGGATTCCTGGGAAAATTCTGACCTTAATTCATAGCTCATATGTTAAATTTGGAGAACTTTTTATTTTGACCTACTTTTCGGACACCATATCTCAAAAGTGGGTCAAAATACTTTCTGACGGCAAAAGCCTAACACTATAAGCATACTCTTTGCTACCTGTTTACAAAATTTCGAAGTAAATTATTAAAGTGTAGTGTCAGAATCGTAAAAATAAGGAAAAACTATGAATTTGACCTAGATTTTGACCTAGGTATTTTGGTGTCCAAATTTTGAAGCTATGTAGCTTTTGAGGTCCCCTTCTTTTATAAGCATTCATTATGTTAAGCTGTACCCAGTCTATATCTTGTATTTTACACTTCGAAAAAGTCTTTTTTCCCTTTGACTTAACATAGGCACCAAATTTAGCGATTTTTGAGCTTTCAAAACGCCATAACTTCCGAACCGGAAGTCTGATCCAAATTTGGTTTGTAGATTCGGATTTCTGAGATCATTCTACACTTATTTCATAACTCGTATGTTGAATTTGGAGAATTTTTTGTTCTGACCTACTTTCCGGACGCCATATCTCAAAATCGGTAAGAGTAATCAAAATTCTGATGTCATATCTTTAATTCGCATTTTTCTAAGCTACACGATGAAAAAAAGATGAAGGAGTTACGAAGAATATTGACGAAGATATGATGAAGAATGTTGAAAATGTAAGATTTGACCTAGTTCTTGACCTTTGACCTAGATAAAAATTTGACCTAATTTCCCAGAAAGCCGGATACAGTCTTTAGTTGACCAAGTAAGTTGGATTAAGTAAGATGTTATAGTTGCAGAGAAAATCTGTTAGGAGGAAGAAGAAAAAGAAAAAGAATAATAAAAAGAAAACAGGCAAAAACAATAGACTCCAGATTTTCAATCTGGAGTCTAATAAGATTAATTAAGATTGGGGAAACAATGAGATAGTCTTTTAGGAAAACCGGGAATTATTTTGTATTTCACGAAATGTTCAATACATACACCCCTTCAAAACAAATAAACCCTTGGTCAACGTAGCTATTTTTCAAAGTCCCTTTAGGTTTATGTTAATATCCCCCTTACTAATGTAGGAAATTGGAAAAATAGATATAAATAACGACATAAAGAAAATGGGGAAATGACATTACCCTTGATATCTTTTTTCGTTGTTCTCGGTTCGAAGTTCATTTCGTACAGATCAGAGACTTCTACGTTGTGTCCCTGTCGCTTTAGGGCTTGTACTGCTAGATCTTTCATGGATCCATTGAATGATTTCGGTTCTTCATGCGCATACACCATTAAAATGTTCTTCCGCTCAGCCGTATCAACGAGGTCACCAGATTCGAATGCCTGGACTAGTGTCCGGGCTGGGATTTTTCCGGTGCCCGGTTTTTCTCGACCTGGAGACAACGGCGACTGGACGCCATTTTGGAAAACAGCCTTGACATCTTTTGTGTCGAATTCTCTTTCATTTGGAATATCGCGTTGTCTCTCTGTTTTCGTCACGAAGTTCCAGCTTTCGAAGGTATTGACGAGAGATTTAGCGCTCCCTGGAGTTATGGGCTCCTCGGTGTAAATAGCCTGTCCCTCTGCGCTACCGTTCTGTATTTGAAAACTCATATTTTTAAAGACAGAATTAATTTTAAAACACCCTGGTTGGTATCAAAATCACGCCAACATACTAAGCAATTGATTTTTGAGCAGTGTCGTTTGATCGTAAATTAGCCTGTTGAATAATATCGATCACCAGACAGCAGTAAAAATTAATGTCTTATCATGACATGCGAAAGCCCTACCGAGTCCGAAGATCGTCCTTATGTTTTTAAAGATCAAAAGGTGTTTATCAGTTGGATTAATGTATAACTTTTTTTACATAGCATGGTCTTATCTGAAGCACGAATGACGGTTACTGCAGTGCGAATTTCGAGAATAAGAATTACTTGAAGTATGCGACAATAAAGTTTATTTAAAACTCGTCGTGTACACAAATATTTTTATCTTTTTTAGAAAATAACTTGATTTATAAATTTCAGAGTGGTTTCCTACCGAAACACACATTGCAGTTAATCAATTAATCAATATTGTTCACGATACAGTCGAAATGTTCGCTCTTGAACTTTTTAAGGTTACGGTTGTCATGAAAACTTTATTAAACTGATGACTTCATATTTATCCAACAGAAGGGTAAAAGTTAAAATGAATAATAGCTATTCGAATTGGGTCAATGGAAATGCTAATGACAATACAAACACACTAAATAATTTGCATAACTATTTATTCATAAATGCCGGAGTTCCTCAAGGATCAGTATTAGGACCCTTGCTTTTCCAATCACATGTGAATGATCTTCCTGATAATTTGCAATCAAAAACCTTTATTTTTGCGGATGACACTTAGTCTATAACTCCTATGCGAAAATGACTTAGAAAATCTTGCCTTATGGGCATATACCTGTAAAATGACTTTTAAAGCACAAAAAAGCGCCGATTTGATTTTTACGGGAACTAGAAACTTAATTATTGAACCTCCGCCTTTACATTTAGGAAATGAATTGATACCAAGATGCAATAGTCATGAGCACTTGGGGCTAATTATGGATCAACATTTGAATTTTAATGATCATATTGATCAGAGTTAATACTAAACAATTTCCAATGCATTCATAATGCCGCATTTTGATTACTGTGATATAATTTACAGCAAAGCTTCAAATTCTAAACTTCAGTGTTTGGATAGGTTGCACTACAGCTGCTACTGTTCTAAGTTCATTAAACTGGAAATCTGTTAACTAAAAGAGATGAGAATACGCTACTGCTCTTTGATACCTTAGGTATACTTTCAGAACAGGTATATCTTCACAAACAATGACATGAAAGATAACTATTTTTACTGGCATGGAAGAAACGGGTGTCAATATGCAATTTTGCACAATTTACTGTTAACATATTACTTTTATCGTTAAAATAGAGACAAGAACTACGATATACATACCTCATTATGAATATTGGATCAATATTGTATGTATTGATCAAGGTGAAATACATCATTGAAGGCGTTCCAGTGGCCCCGCTGAAAACACGAGGAGGTCACGCTGAAAACAGGAGCAGATTTCTCGAGTACCCGCTTCGATCACGAAGAAAACGTCATTACTATTGTAATAGCTTATGTCCGCGTATATATCATAAACTACATAAAATATGGTTTTACTCTCAAATATATTTCACTATTTAGAAATCTCCATCTTGGTACAATAGTCTCGAAACTGTCTGTCTCGTTCTGCCACCTATTGGCCAAATGAAACATCAAAACGCAATAACACAATTTGGTTGTTCTAAGATACAACATTACTCTCCCCTTACAATGTTACTTTACAAAAAAATGTGAACCTCACATTTCATCAATTAAACGTCTAGGCGGCACACTAACTCTAGTATACCTACGAACTGTTGGTACCTCCACAACTGTTTTCTCATCACTAGGCATATGAACTACAGGTTGATCAGGTTCCTTACTTTGAACAATAGGAACATGTGATAGTGCTATATCTTTATCACTAGGCAATGCTAACTGATCTCTAGAATTCATATTTGCATCAACAAGTGGTAGAGCTGCCATATTACTGGGTACATGTATCGGGCAGGACTCTATATTAGAGTGACTATCAAATGTCATTTTTCTTAAATGATCTAAGTGACAATAACGTACTTTACCTCCACAGTTGATCAAATATGACTTCTGTCTGAATGTCTGAGTTAGTAATTGGCAAATCATTTACACCAAAAAATGTACTTCACTTTCCTCTTCACAAATACTTGTATCTGGCAATGGTAATCTAGACATACAATCTGCGTTGGCATTATCTTGACTTTCTTGACTTTCTGTACATTATTTTGTAATCATATGCTGACAATATAAGAGCCCATCTTTGCATACGAGCTGCGGCTAAGGTAGGTATAGCAGTGGAAGGATTGAAAATTGCACAGAGAGGTTTATGATCACAATACAATGTAAATTTTTTACCATGGAGATACTGGTAAAATTTGAGAATACCCCTTTTCACTCACATTCAATGTACGAGAGGCACAAGCTATTGGTCGTTCATCTCCATCTATAACATGTGCTACAAAAGCGCCTATGCCATAAGCCGAGGCATCTGTTGAAAGAACCAAAGGTTTATTCGGGTCATAATGAACTAAAAGACCACTGTTCACTATCTGAGATTTGCACTGTTCAAAACATTGTTGACATTCCTTGGACCATTCCCATTTTGCATTTGATTTTAACAAATCATGTAATGGATGGAGACTGGTTGACATATTAGGTAAAAAATCATGATAAAAATTAATCATGCCTAAAAATGATTTCACTTCTAGTGAGCACTTATTTCAATACATTTAAATGTTCTTCCCTGTTTGGTGCCGTTATAAGAATATCATCCTGAATGCACTTGGTGTTCGGTATTCCATTTATTATTTTGTCAAAAGTGCACTGAAATTGAGCTGGTGCTGTGAACATGCCAAAACTTAATCTATTCGGCCTAAACAGTCCATATGGTGTGTTAATAGTTAACAAATTTTTAGAATCCTCATCTAGTTCTAGATGCTGAAAAGCTGAGCGCCAATCTAATTTTGTAAACTGTTGCCCACCTGCCAATGTAGAGAATACGTCCTGCTTAGTAGGCAGTGGGTATTTATTATCCTTAATATGTTTATTTACAGTCACTTTATAGTCTCCACATACACAAAGACTTCCATTAGACTTTGGGACTAACACTGCTGGACTTGTCCAGCTACTTGTTTGTTTTACACCATTCTCCATCTCCTGTTTAAATGATTCATTAGGGGCATATGGAACTGGTCTGGGGCGGAAATATATCGGAGAGGTCTCTGGTTCCAATTCCACACTCGCTTTATATCCCTTAATACGAAATAGAGCTTTATGTTCATTCAAAATAGCCTCAACATCATCAGGTGTGCGTTGTACGCTGGCTACATGGTGAACCTCATGTGGCTGGGTCGCAGCTTGTGCATCTTGAATTTTCGCATTCCAATCAAGTTTGATGCACTGTATCCAGTTCCTCCCAAGTAACGGTGGACGTCGATCCACACCCCACACTACAACTAGGGGCAACATTGTATATTTTCTGTTATCGATAGAGACTGGTATATTCAATACACCTAGAACATCCAGCTTATTACCAGAATATGATGATAACTTGATGCTACAGCTTTCAAGCGGAAAATCACAAAGTTTTTCTCGATAAATTTTCTCTGGTATAATACTTAGGCTTGCTCCTGTATATAGTACTTTGACTCCACTCAACATAACACCTAGTCGGTAGGGTCTAGCCTTGAACGTAGGACCAAGAACAAGAAATACTCCAAGGCAGTCCTGATCACTCTCGCTATCGGACTCGGTATCAACACAGTGGGCATTACTCGCCTTACAGGCACGACTCAAATGTCCTCGGGTTTGGCACTGGTTACAAACATAGTTACTATAGTGACAATCTGCAGAATTGTGCTTACCATTGCACCGGAAACAGATGACGCTCGATTTTCCTGTCCTATCATTGGGCTTGGATTTACGATCCTTGCGTCTGTCGTGTTTTTTACTCATGTATTTACCACTCTTGTTGAAAAGTTTCATCACTTCATTAGCTTCATTATCAGAGTCCTCTCTCGCAGGATGAAATTCAGTGACGTTACGCCTAGCTGCTGCCATGGTCTGAGTTATTTCCTTCGCCCTTTTAAATTTCAAATCCTCGGTTGCCTCTGAATCCGTAAGAAGCTTTCTTTGTACGTGGGGACACTTTAAACCACATACAAGTCAATCGCGTAAACAGTCATTCCAGATAGTAATGCCCCAATCGCAATTTTTCTGTCGCCGTGTATTTTCTCTTATATAACCCCGTGCCTGTAGTGTTAATCATTATGGTTGTATAGGGTGGTTCAGTGTCTAATATTGTAACTAAAAGTTTGGCTCAATTTGTTCACATATGTGTTGTCACAATCAGTTAAAGTCAGAAATTCTTAAATTACGTTATTGTCGCCAAGAAGCATTTTTAGGTATATGGAAGAAAACAGACTAAGTTTACTTATCACAATCCGTATTATATATTTTCATGGGTAACAATGATGTGTTAGAAATATTCATGCGAAGTTTCAAATCAAAACACTAACAAGAACCTCTTCTTTTTCACGTTGTAATAATGTCGCCAGATTCTTGAAAGTTACTGCCTGTTGCATGTATACCTGATATGGAGCTTATACCAATGTGACGTTTACCTTTAAACCAACGTCAAATACTGGTATACATATAAAACATTCATGAAATATACAGAATGCCAATGTATTTACCAAGATATATCATTTGTGACCTGTCAAAAAATATTTTTTGAAACTTATGGATAAGGACTTTAAACTACGTTACCAAATATCCAGCATAATCAAAGAACGAAGGCACTGTTTTCCACACATATTGTACTACAGCCTTGGATGACTTAATATGAGACCCTACTCTGTCGGTGAGTACTGAATTAATAATTTATTCGCATTAAAATGTCACAAATATTAAATAACGTCACCTTAAACTACGTGAGCCATTTTTTACGAAACAATCCTATTTGACTTGTTTTATAACTACGGGCTTAATGACAATGGGTCATATGGTTAGTTTTGGTGCGCCATGGCGCCATGTTGACTCAAAGCTGTGTATTATCTCTGACAATCGACTACAATCCATCAAAATAATTGAAAATATGTAAGTAAATACCTAACTCCATTCACAATC